TCCGGATGCAACATCCCAGCAATTCCAGGAACAGCTGTTAAAAATTGACCACTGTCTGGAAAATCTTCCAGCTCCTGCACCCAACATCTTGCTCCTGGGGGATTTCAACTTAAGGCACCTAAAATGGAGGAATATAGCAAATAATATTGTTGCAGTAATAACACCAGGAGGCAGCTCTGATGAAAACTCACACTCACACGAGCTTTTAAATCTCTGCACAAAATTCAATTTAAACCAGCAAATAATAGAGCCTACTAGACTGGAGAATACACTAGACCTCATCTTCACTAACAATGATGATCTGATAAGAAATGTCACCATATCAAAAACAATATACTCAGATCACAACATAATTGAGGTTCAGACATGTATGCGTGGAGCCCCAGACCGACATAATGAGACTAGTCACGAGGGAGCATTCACCAAATTCAACTTCAATAACAAAAACATAAAGTGGGACCAAGTAAACCAAGTCCTAACCGATATAAGCTGGGAAGATATACTAAGCAACACAGACCCCAACGTATGCCTAGAACAGATTAACTTGGTGGCACTCGATGTATGCACAAGGCTTATTCCTCTAAGAAAAAGGAGGAGTAGATGTAAAATAGAAAGAGACAGGCGCTCCCTTTACAGGCGACGGAAAAGAATAACAGAGCGGCTAAAAGAGGTCAATATATCTGAAATGCGTAGGGAGACACTGGTCAGATAAATAGCAAGCATCGAACTCAAGCTAAAGGAATCTTATAGGAGTCAGGAATCGCGGGAAGAACTAAAAGCCATAAATGAAATCGAAAGAAACCCAAAGTATTTCTTCTCCTATGCCAAATAAAAAGTCGAGAACAACATCCAGTATTGGGCCCCTACTTAAACAAGATGGGTCCTACACAGATGACAGCAAGGAAATGAGTGAGCTACTCAAGTCCCAATATGACTCAGTTTTTAGCAAGCCGCTAACCAGACTGAGAGTCGAAGATCAAAATGAATTTTTTATGAGAGAGCCACAAAATTTGGTTAACACAAGCCTATCCGATGTTATCCTGACGCCAAATGACTTCGAACAGGCGATAAATGACATGCCCATGCACTCTGCCCCGGGGCCAGACTCATGGAACTCCGTGTTCATCAAGAACTGCAAGAAGCCCCTATCACGAGCCTTTTCCATCCTATGGAGAGGGAGCATGGACACAGGGGTCGTCCCACAGTTACTAAAAACAACAGACATAGCCCCACTCCACAAAGGGGGCAGTAAAGCAACAGCAAAGAACTACAGACCGATAGCACTAACATCCCATATCATAAAAATCTTTGAAAGGGTCCTAAGAAGCAAGATTACCACCCATCTAGAAACCCATCAGTTACACAACCCAGGGCAACATGGGTTTAGAAGAGGTCGCTCCTGTCTGTCTCAACTATTGGATCACTACGACAAGGTCCTAAATGCACTAGAAGATAAAAAAGAATGCAGATGTAATATATACAGACTTTGCAAAAGCCTTCGACAAGTGTGACCATGGCGTAATAGCGCACAAAATGCGTGCTAAAGGGATAACAGGAAAAGTCGGTCAATGGATCTATAATTTCCTCACTAACAGAACACAGAGAGTAGTCGTCAACAGAGTAAAGTCCGAGGCAGCTACGGTGAAAAGCTCTGTTCCACAAGGCACAGTACTCGCTCCCGTCTTGTTCCTCATCCTCATATCCGACATAGACAAGGATGTCAGCCACAGCACCGTGTCTTCCTTTGCAGATGACACCCGAATCTGCATGACAGTGTCTTCCATTGCAGACACTGCAAGGCTCCAGGCGGACATCAACCGAATCTTTCAGTGGGCTGCAGAAAACAATATGAAGTTCAACGATGAGAAATTTCAATTACTCAGATATGGTAAACACGAGGAAATTAAATCTTCATCAGAGTACAAAACAAATTCTGGCCACAAAATAGAGCGAAACACCAACGTCAAAGACCTGGGAGTGATCATGTCGGAGGATCTCACCTTCAAGGACCATAACATTGTATCAATCGCATCTGCTAGAAAAATGACAGGGCGGATAATGAGAACCTTCAAAACTAGGGAGGCCAAGCCCATGATGACACTCTTCAGGTCACTTGTTCTATCTAGGCTGGAATATTGCTGCACACTAACAGCACCTTTCAAGGCAGGTGAAATTGCTGACCTAGAAAATGTACAGAGAACCTTCACGGCGCGCATAACGGAGATAAAACACCTCAATTACTGGGAGCGCTTGAGGTTCCTGAACCTGTATTCCCTGGAATGCAGGCGGGAGAGATACATGATTATATACACCTGGAAAATCCTAGAGGGACTAGTACCGAACTTGCACACGAAAATCACTCACTACGAAAGCAAAAGACTTGGCAGACGATGCAACATCCCCCCAATGAAAAGCAGGGGTGTCACTAGCACGTTAAGAGACCATACAATAAGTGTCAGGGGCCCGAGACTGTTCAACTGCCTCCCAGCATACATAAGGGGAATTACCAACAGACTCCTGGCAGTCTTCAAGCTGGCACTGGACAAGCACCTAAAGTCGGTTCCTGACCAGCCGGGCTGTGGCTCGTACGTTGGTTTGCGTGCAGCCAGCAGCAACAGCCTGGTTGATCAGGCTCTGATCCACCAGGAGGCCTGGTCACAGACCGGGCCGCGGGGGCGTTGACCCCCGGAACTCTCTCCAGGTAAACTCCATGTTCATCCATCAGTAAAATGGGTACCTGGGTGTTAGTCGACTGATGTGGGTCGCATCAAGGGGATAAAATTGACCTACTTTGCCTGAAATGCTCTGCATAACAAGGGACTTTCTGTATAGTAGTACATCATGGATGTCAGCTAGGCCTGTATACCATGTACTTGTAGAAATAGATATTATTATCATCATCTTAGGTAATTGAAAAGCAGGGGTGCCATGAGCACGCTAAGAGACAACACAATCAGTATCAGGGGTCCAAGACTGCCTCCCAGCATACATAAGGGGGGTTATAAATAGACCCCTGGCTGTCTTCATGAGGGAATCGGAGAGGCATCTTAAGACCAGATCTGATCAACCAGGCTGTGGTTTATAAATTGGTTTGCATTCGGTCAGCAGTAACAGCCTGGTTGATCAGGCCCTGATCCACCACAAGGTCTGGTCATGGACCAGGTTGTGGGGGTGTTGACCCCCTGAACACCCTCCAGGTATAGTAAATAACATCTGTGCTGCCCATTCCACATGAAAAAATATTTGTGGAAATTGTTTATTTAGGTAATAAGAGGCAAAATAATAATTTATTATGCAGATTCTTTTTTTTTATTATTTTGATTATACAGTGGAAACTGTTGTATTTTAAAAAAGTAAAATGGAAGATTTATTTTGAGTGTTGAATGGGAGGTGTTTTGTATTTCTTGGTTGAATGAGGTTTCTTCTGAGTGTTTTTTACCTGGAGTATACCTGGAGAGAGTTTTGGGTCAATGCCCCAGCAGCTTGGTCTGAGACCAGGCCTCGTGGTGGATCAAGGTCTGATCAACCAGGCTGTTACTGCTGGCTGCATGCAAACTGACGTACAAACCACAGCCCGGCTGGTCAGGTACTGCCTTTAGGTGCCTGTTCAGTGCCTTTTTTGAAGACATCCAGGGGTTTATTGGTGATCCCCCTTATGTATGCTGGGAGGCAGTTGAACGGTCTTGGGGCCCCTAATACTTGTTGTGTTGTCTCTCAGTGTACTCGTGGCACTCCTGCTTTTCATTGGGGGTTATGTTGCATTTCCTGCTGAATCTTTTGCTTTCATAGGGAGTGATTTTCGTGTGCAAGTTTAGTACTTATCCCTCTGGGATTTTCCAAGTGTTTATTATGCATCTCTCTCGCCTACGTTTCAGGGAATACAAATCAAGGGACTTCAACTGTTCTTTGTTGGATGAGGTTTCTTATGAGTGTTTCTAAGTTGAATGAGGTTTCTTCTGAGTGTTTCTTGGTTGAATGGGAGGTTTCTTTGTTTCTTTTTTGTTAAATGGGGGTTTCTTCTGGTTGTTTCTTGGTTGAATGGGAGGGTTCTTTTGGTGTTTTTTGATTGGAAAACAGGCAATTAGGTTTGATCCCGGAGTTGGGTAACTCGTTTCCTGAATCAAGAGCCCTACACTGTTTTAGTTGTGGGAAGGTGTTAAATCCTAAGGAGTTCATACAGGACCTAATAATGGGAGGAAGCCAGGATTAATCCAGGGAAGGGAAGAATTAGTTGTTCCATGGATCAAGGCATCTTTGAGAGGAAGTAAACCCTTTACCATCATGACTGTGAGGCTTTAAACCCATATGGGTCATACAGAACCTGGGGATTAGTATGCTATTAAGTTTGATCCAAGTTTAAGTTTAATATGTTTATTATGCACCCCATACCCATCCTGTGGGCGGTAGTCAAAAGATTACAGAGGTACATAATTGGTCCAGGGACTGGACTCCAAAGTTTTGATAGCTGAGCAAGTTACAGAGGTAATGAACTCACAATTTACAAAGGTAATGAACTCTAAGGGAGTGGAGATTTAGTCCAATTCCTTGGATCAATTATTATTATGGGAGTGTTAAACACAGGGATTACATTGCACCTGTCGAGGGAGGGGGGTGATGGAAGGCATTCAGGCTTAATTCAGGGAACTGGAGCACAGATCTAATCCCCTAGATCAAGAGACCATAACGTTACAGCATCAAGGAACCTTCCTTGAAGGAAGTTGTAATTGGAACCAGGTGTTGCTGTGTGCAGCTTTAAGCTAAGACTTGATAAGGCTCTGCATAGAACAAAATATTGTTCCAATAAAAGTTTGCTCTGCTACTTGTGGGTTATCCAAATAGCATTATTTTAGTAAAGTACTTTGTGAGCTGGCATGATTCACCTTCCATAATGTTCAGGCAGTGCTTTACATTTTTCTTTAATTTATAAACTGTACTGCAGTGTTTCTTAGTCCTAATGACGATATGTACAATGGATTTGAATAAAGGATATCATAGACATGTTTTCCAAATATTAATGCTTTATTGTGTGGTGTATTATAATTTTGAAGCTTAATGGCCCATACGAAGAAAATAGTATAAGTACTCATCAAAACCTTACCAATACAGCTCACACACAGCAGGATGATCATCTTGCAACCACCAGCATCATCATTCTTACCATCTCTATGTTATTATTCCACACACACACACACACACACACACACACACACACACACCTGCAGGGTTAGGAGCTATAACTCGACCCCTACAACCACATACAGGTAGGTAACACACACACACATACAGGGTCAGCAGCTGTGACTTGACCCCTGCAACCACATATAGGTGAGTACACATATACACGCATACATACATGTAAGAAGCACCAACTCTATAAATATTATTTGTGCAGCACACCTAAACTGGAATTAAAGAGTGATTACAGGCAGGCCTCGCTTTACAGTGCTTTGCTTTACAGCATTTTGCTTATGCAGCAGTTTTCAATTATACCCAATCTTCATTTTTTTCAGACTTCCTACAATAAATATATTTACCACTCCCTATAGGTGAAGGATGAAAATATTTTAAGGTAAGTAATGTGTACATTTTTTAGGCTTAGCTCTATTTCTCACTTAATATATGACAGTGTAAACATATCATCAGGCTTTTATATGCATTTGAAAGTGAAAAAAAGGCTGTTTCACTTTACAGTGATTTTCGCTTTAGAGCAGTAGGCCGGAACCTAACCTGCTGTATAAGTGGGGCCCACCTGCATACTTTAGTATAAACTAATTCATAAGTAACACAAGCATATCTTCACCCTTTACAACCTGTAGCTGAAAATTGCTGTTACAGTGGAACCTCTACTTCAATAATTTCGCTAATATCAGCTCTGCAGCTCATTTATCTATCACAGTTCATCTAATATGACATAACAAACAATATAAATAACACAGAAACCTGATATATGCTCTACAATGAATAAAATATGGCATTACAGTACGTATATGTGTGGCAGCGGCCAACGAGAGTTTGTCTGGAGACAGGACAAAATACTCCTTGAATATTTCGCTATCATCAACTCTATGGCTTATTTATCTATCACAGTTCATCTAATATGAAATAATAAACAATATAAATAACACAGAAACCTGATATATACTCCAGAATGCATAAAATATGTCATGTAACAGATGCAGGCGGCCACAACTGCTCCCTCTTTGTTGTGGTAAACACTGCCATCTAGTGACGGCCTTTTGAAGTCGTCTATTATTATAATTATTATGTAGTACATTATTATTATATATGTATTATTATTATACATATTATATTATTATTATTATTGTATTATATTATTGTACTATTATTATTATTATACATATTATTATTACGTTAAGAAGCATCTTTCCATCATACATTGCCCAAGTTTCAATAAGATAGTCCAACAAACAAATGAAATACAATTCCCTAGATTAAGAGCAAGAGCCCCTCACCAGCATCAAGGCACCTGCCTTGAGGTCTGCTCGCTTATGGAAATTTTGCTTGCGACTGGAAGCAAAAAACTGACCCATCGACTGTTCATATTTGGAAAAACTCACACATAGAGGCGCTCGCAAGTAGAGGTTCCACTGTATTTACAACTATCATACGTAACACAACACTACAAAAGTAATAATCAGAATTGCTAATTTTTTATTCATCAGGAAACATGACAAGTGCCTTCTGACACAGGTCTTAAAAATAATTAAACAATTAATGCTTATACTATAAAAATTTTTGGGCTAAATTATCTTTATAGAAAAGAATAAATATCAATTAAGCTATTCTGTATAAAAAGTACAGTACATAATGAAATATAAGATAGTAAAATTATATTATTTCTGAAAACATTGTGCACATAAGAATTCAATAGAAGTGGAAAATTGTACCTGTATACAATTTTTTTTTTAATCAAAACTGAATAAATTGCCATGCAATACACAAGATTTGTGTAATGTTTTAGTAACTGCTTGAAAACAGTACAGTACTCTACATTACTTCCAACAGAAACTTTACCAAAAGCTAACTTTTCACAAATTAAAGTAAATGAAATAGAATAATAACATTAAAGAAGTTTGAAAAAAATATAAATATTAGTTCCTTGGTCAGGTAAACATAATGTAATTGGTGCAGTGCCATGATAGCCACCTTACTGGCACTTTATATGTAAGTGTAATAAACTTAATATATGGCAGCTTAGATATGTTCAGCTTTATCAGAATAAACATTTTGTCAATGTTTAACAGCATTTGAAAATATGAAAAATCACATGTTCACTTCACATCTATTTCTTGCGTAAGGTGACAGGAAATTTTCACTTTATGATAGTTATACCTACTTGGATCTAACAGTTGGGTGTGCCCTGATGTTGGTGTGATCTTGATTCAAGGAATTGGAACTATCCTTCCCTTCCACAGATCACACCTGATTGTCTCCCATTCCCCTGACACTGTATGGCCCTAGATATGGGTTCGGTACTTAATTACAATAATACACCAGTATGTATAGTGTATGTCAGGTGATGGTTCAAAATAATGCGCTAGCATGTATACCTGTAGTTGATAGAATATGTCAGATGATGGTTCCAGATCTTTAACATCTGAAACTGCCAAAGTTCAACTGGTATTAACATGTGACCCCTTCATGAACAGATGTTAAAACAGGAACAGAACAAATGAACAGTCTAAGATACATTTAAAAAATATTATGTGACTAGACAAGTCCATCTTTCACAAGTCATAGGCTTCATGACTTTGTAGATCTACTATCTTTGATAGTTTTTGAGAGTTCTCTTACTTTCACGTGTCTGGCCCTAAGCCGGACCTGCTAGGTGCTTATAATTATTATGTTCAAGTGGAACACCTATATTTGTATGGGTCATTAAGCTCCTGTGGAATAGAAGATAATCAGCTCTGATCCAAGGGTAGGGTAACTCGAACTCACTGACTCAAAAGCCCTTTGCCAAGAAGACTCCCTCACTCTCTTGAAGGGTAGACCCACATAGACAGTGACCAGTTGGTTTAAAAAAAAAATAATAATAATACGAGGAACAGAATCCAATTTAATCTCCCTATCCTTCAATCAAGACTAAATAATTTTCCCCAACCAACAATTTTCCGTATTACACTGTGATAAAATTTATTATGTAACTTATGGCTTGACTTTGGAGTAAATTACAGATATGAAGTGTGGAATGTGACTGGTGGTCTATGACTGAACAAATTATAGAAATGAACTGTGGAATGTGACTGGACTGAATTATTTTGATACACTGTAATGATTTTTGCAGCATGACAAAAAATTGGTCATGATAGCAGCAAGTTAACAGAGATAAGAGCAAACTGTTTAAAACAGCAGAAGGCTAGTACTGAAAGTAGCAAGCTAATAATAATATATGTAGGTATTTTTTTTTATTATCATACTGGCCGATTCCCACCAAGGCAGGATGGCCCGAAAAAGAAAAACTTTCACCATCATTCACTCCATCACTGTCTTGCCAGAAGGGTGCTTTACACTACAGTTTTTAAACTGCAACAGTAACACCCCTCCTTCAGAGTGCAGGCACTGTACTTCCCATCTCCAGGACTCAAGGTACTTATAAAATTTGTGTCCTAAATACCTAATGGGTTCTAGTCATTTTAAATCATACATATAATAATAAAGTTTTTCAGCACAAAGGGACATTTGTACTCTATTTCTCTTATACATGATAAAATATGTCAACTTCTATAGTTTGAACTGTTATATTACTGGTGAACTGGCTTTTCTGTATTTTCACATAGTCTTTGAAAACATATCACAATGTCAGTCAGTTGTGTGGTGACACATGTCATAACTGACAGATATTCTCTCCTGCTCAACAGACTGTGGTTTGAGTTACCAGTAAGTCTTTACAAGAATTTGGTACTGGAGGATATCATGGAATGTGCCAGAACTTAACAGGGTGTATACATGTATGATTCGAGAGAAATCAAGTCACAGAAAGGATGGAACTTAAACCCATGACAAGTAAGTCCTAAAACTCACAGACCAGTACATTAACCACTTGGACAGCTGGCTCTAATAAGAATCATTCAGCTAGGTATATTTCTATGATTCAAAAGTTTGAACAGTCATTCAGAAGTAAACTGCCAAGTCAATCTAGTCAAGAATTGTCAGGGTTGAAGAGAGAGAGAGAGAGAGAAGTTTAAATTGTCCTTGCAAATTCACAGGCTTCCATATTTGTGGATTTCAGTTATCCAATGATTTACCGTAAGTCAGCCATAAAATAGATTTGATTATACATTGTTTTTCTGACTCAATGGCTTTCCCATATCTCAATCTCTTTAACCTGATCATTATTTCTTAGGAATGTCAATATTAACCATATTAGTGATATATTAGAGATAATCTTTAAAATACAAAACAAACCCAACTCTGGAACATAGTTGTTAGGTAGACTTATTTTGAATTATTCGGTTTTGAGTTCTATTAGGTATCTAGGAATGTAACCTGTGAATTAGTAGGAATGACTGTATCACAAGGAACTGAGCTTCAGAGAGCAAGCGTCAATCAAGCAACAGACAAATAGCCAGTAAAATCTGTTGTGGCTTATTGTGCATTATAAGACTGTCAAAATACCACATGATTGATTACCTGCTGAACTAGTTTAGTAGTTAGTTTAATATCTTTATTATGCACCCCGTATCCATCCTGTGGGTGATATGCTGCTGAACTACAAGTAAGTTTTTTGACGATAAACCCTAGAGTTAATATATTACTATATTAGTGTTTTACACCAAGTCTCCAAGCCTTGCAATATTTATAGTAAACATTTCATACCTGGAGTTTACCTGGAGAGAGTTCAGGGGGTCAACGCCCCTGTCATGTGGGTTTTCCAAGGTAGAGACTTCACTGCTTCCTTCCTTGTTGTCAACCAGATTACTTTCCCTGGTGACCTTCTACTGGGATTTGCTTCTATATCGATGGCATGCCCAAATTGATGACTTGATCGTACCATTTTGGGGTTACCAGCTTGGATCCAAGATCTGCCATACTGCCGCAGAGTACGACATTCGAATTAAGTCCTTACAGGCCAGTGCATTTTCCAGTAGCGTACCCAAGCGGTCAGGCACTGATCCTGTCACTCCTGTCTGTGTTCCTGCAACTTCAGACTTGCAAGATAGTGTCCAGTTACCTCAAGTGTCCGAGGACGCTCTGACTACCTTGAGTGCTGAGCCTATCCCTGCAATGTCTGCTAGTTCAAGTAGTAGTTTCTCCACAGGGGATGCCTTGTTGGAAAACAATTACTTGCAACTAGTAATGCCATCTCTTGTTGATGTCACATGCCATCTGCTGAAAGACGTTTCTGTCACAGCTAGTGCCCTCACTAGAGTGTCTGTTGTTGTTCCTAGTGTTCCAGATGGTGATAACGTCCTAGTTGACAGTGATTCTTGCAAAGTAAAAGGTCTATTTGTTGAACCATCCTTACATGTTGTAAGAGATAGTAAGATCCATTTCTTCCTTGCTAACACTTTTGGTCACAGTGTTCGTCTCAGAGCAAATACCAATCTTGTTGACCTTGTTCACTATCCTTACCCTGTTCAGGTAGAGGATGAGTTGTCACCTAACCAGTGGGTCGGTGCTATTTCTATCGGGGAGACCCCATCCACGTATCGAAAACCCACATAACACCCCCACGGCCCGGTCTGTGGCCAGGCCTCCTGGTGGATCAGAGCCTGATCAACCAGGCTGTTACTGCTGGCTGCACACAATCCAACGTACAAGCCACAGCCCGGCTGGTCAGGTACCGGCTTTAGGTGCTTGTCCAGTGCCTGCTTGAAGACAGCCAGGGGTCTATTGGTAATCCCCCTTATGTATGCTGGGAGGCAGTTGAACAGTCTCAGGCCCCTGACACTTATTGTATTGTCTCTTAACGTGCTAGTGACACCCCTGCTTTTCATTGGGGGGATGTTGCATCGTCTGCCAAGTCTTTTGCTTTCGCTGTGAGTGATTTTCGTGTGCAAGTTCCGTACTAGTCCCTCTAGGATTTTCCAGGTGTATATAATCATGTATCTCTCCTGCCTGCATTCCAGGGAGTACAGGTTCAGGAACTTCAAGCGCTCCCAGTAATTGAGGTGTTTTATCTCCATTATGCGTGCTGTGAAGGTTCTCTGTACATTTTCTAGGTCAGCAATTTCACCTGCCTTGAAAGGTGCAAATTTTTAAAATAATGGGCAAAACCCACTAGATAATTGTACCTTTACCAACTTTATTTTCAATATTTATTGTAATGTAATAGTAAAATATGTGTGCAGTACCATGTTGGGTAAATTCTGGAATATATATACATATATATATATATATATATTTTTTTTTTTTTTTGCTATTTTATAACTTTACAGTATTCTGACTTAGCAGACACTTGGACAATCCCTCTATTAATCCATTATGTAGAGGGTTTACTGTTATGGATACTAAAAGTACTCAAATACATAATTCATATAATATATATGAAGAAAAAGCTAAGTGGTAATTCAAGGAGACTTATCAGCTTACATCACTGTCTACCCCAAAAAATAATAGCTTTCATCAATTAAAAAAAAAAATTATTTATTTTACACTGGCATTTTCCCACCAATCCATTGATAATAAGGTAACTACAAAAAAAAAAAATAAAAAACTTAACCCAATCTTATGTAACCTAAGTAGAGTCTGAGTTAAATCCTAGGTTAGGGGAGAGGCCTGGGGACATGATTAATGAACAAAAGACATGTTGCTTTAGTGGATGGAATGGCTACAGTGTTTATTTTAGACTGGAAGTAGCTTGAAATAAGCCTCAGAGCGAAGGCCTTTCCCTGGTCTTTTTTTATGAATTTCTTACTCTCAATTGATAAAATGGAAGGCATACTAGTAAAATAGCTAAGAATCTGGTCAAAAAAATCAGTGGAATTAGCATAAAACAGAACTCAAAGCGGGCAAAATTGTTAATGTGTAAAATGCACCCAGATAGCCAACTGTGTACCTGCATAATTTCATAAGATTTCTACCAAATTTCACATTTTTTGTGGTATTACCATCAGAAAAAGATTCTTTACCATTTCAGAAAAGAAATATTTCTTTTTTAAATTGCGACACTGTCAGCATTTTTAATCTCAGGGGTCTCAACAGTGAAAGGTCTAAATTTGCTAAATATGCAAAACATTCACTCATACCACTGTCAGTACAAATATACAGTCAGTACAAATATAACCCAGCTCTGAAACTCTGCTTTCATATCATGCAATAAAACTCAATGGCATAATACAAGATGCAAATACTACATCGTTTGATAATCCTTCTACACAACTCAATGTGAATAAAACCTCTATGCACATGAAATTTAAAGTTATTTTAAGGCTGCCTGTTATGTTCTGCATAACCAGGGGTTTTCTGTCAAATATGTCAGTAACATTACTTTTGTTAAGTAAAAGGACACAAGTTCAACTAATGTGACATTTTATTGTGGGAATGTTTTGCTCTCCAGGAGCTTTGTCAAGCTGTTACAAACAATACATGGACACAGAGGGAATATATGGGCTTTAGAGTGATACATGTGGTAGAAAAAAGTCAGCTTGTACACGAGTAAAAAGGTTATTAAAGGTATTGCGTGGGTTTACTGTTTTGAGGAGGATTCTTGCTAATCACATAGTTGCTGCTGATACTACATAAGAACATAAAAGAGGAGGAACACTGAAACAGGCCTTCTCAAATCCAACCAGAAATTTTTGCCCAACCTATTTTCATGCTACCAAAGCAACAGCTTTAATAACCTTTTTATTCATGTGCAAGCTGACTTTTTCTACCACATGTATCACTACTACTACTACTACCTCCACTAATATTACAACTGCTATACCTCACTCTAAGCCTATAACTACCCTCTGTGTCCATTTATTGTTTGTAATGGTTTGACAAAGCTCCTGGAGAGCAAAACATTGCCACAATAAAATGTCATATTAGTTGCACTTGTGTCCTTTTACTTAACATATTGTTGGTAATTCTACCAACGTTAATACATTACTTTTTCTGTTCCAATTGTAAGGTGGCTTTTATACGTAGATATAAAGGTTATTATATTTTAAAAGGCCCCAGAATTTGGAACTTTCTGCCAGAAGATTCCAAAAGTTCCCAACCTGCCAACTACTTCAGAGCTGCCTTAATTTTAATGTGATTCATGACAGAAAATATTCTGTGTTTAGACACATCTTGAAACCTACTTGTTGAGTTTTCGTCCATTATTCATCCTCCTGTACTTCTTGCTCCTGCTATTTTTTCTACTCCCATATACTGTATTTTGCCATATGTTGTAATTCCCTTTATTAAGACTTCTTATATCCATGCTTGCTGAAATAACCTTCCAGTAGCTTGCATTAAATTGTATTGTATGTTCAGAAATTAGTTACACTCATCCTTTTACAACTAGATACTCTTTTTTTTTTTTTTATCTTCTCATAATACCTTGTATAGACCGTGTAATAGATAAAAATTAAGTTATGTAGTTAGTAAAACTAATCTTATCTTTTGCCTGAAGTGTTGCGCATTATATAAGCTTTCTGTTTATTGCATATTTTGTATATGCATTAATTTAAAATAAGAATCTCAATCACAGTCTCTCTAATATTCTCATCTCTGTCCACCACAATTGCCATTACCAACCAACAGCTCCTCCCCACCCCCATTAATCCGTAAAATGGAGAGTTTACTATGTAATGCTTTTTTAAAATATACTAGTTAAGAAATAGAATTGATAGGACATAGTCTAGTACTATTCTATCAATCACTATATTGTTACTGGCCTGATAACTGTTAAATAAATTAACAAAACCAAGGAATCAGTTGTAATACAGTGGACCCCCGGTTATCTGCCGGTTCTGTTATCGGCCAACTCGGTGATTGGCTGTTTTTTCAGTGCCCGGTTATCGGCCATTAATTCAGTGATCAGCCATTCGGCTGGGGCCGCTTGCTCATCAGTTTGGCCGTGTCTCTTGGTGGCTGAGGAAGCTTCTGCTCATACATCCAAACATTTTGCTTATTTCCCATTGTACTTTGTATTATTTTTGCAGTGCAACTGTGAAATAAGTAACCATGGCTCCAAAGAAAGTTCCTGTGGTAAAGAAAGTGAGAAATATCATGGAATTTAAGCGTGAAGTGATAGAAAAGTTTGAGAGTGGAACTTGCCAGGATGTACAGCAAGAATAAATCAACAATTACATCCATCCTGGGAAAGAAAACAAATCAAGGATGCTAATGTTGCAAAAGGAGTAACTTTTCTAACTAAACAAAGGCCACCAATAATGGAAGAGATGGAAAAGTTATTATTATTGTGGATTAAGGAAAAAGAATTAGTGGGAGACAGTGTTGTGAGTCGATTATTTGTGAGAAGGCAAAGCAGTTGCATGAGGATCTTGCAAAGAAAATGCCTGGAACAAGTGCTGCAGTTTGTGAATTTAAGGCCAGCAAAGGATGGTGTGATAGATTTAAGAAGTGTAGTGGCATACACAGTGTTGTAAGGCATGGTGAGGCTGCAAGTTCTGACAAACGTGCAGCTGAAAAATTCGTGCAGGAATTCCAGGGGTACATAGAAGCTGAAGGATTCAAACCCCAACAAGTGTTCAGTTGTGACAAAACAGGCCTTTTTTGTAAGAAAATGCCAAACAGGACCTACATTACCCAGGAGGAAAAGGCATTGCCAGGATGTAAGCCTATGAAAGACAGGCTTACTCTTTTGTTGTGGTAATGCTAGTGGGGATTTCACAGTGAAGCCTTTACTTATGTATCACTCAGAAAATCCCAGAGTGTTCAAGAAAAACAATGTCATGAAAAATAGATTGTGTGTGATGTGGAAAGCTAATCATAAGGCATGGGTCACAAGGCAGATTTTCAAAGAGTGGGTTAATGATGTGTTTGGCCTAAGTGTGAAAAAATACCTCCTGGAAAAGAAATTGCCACTCAAGTGCCTCCTGGTACTGGACAATGCTCCTGCACATCCTCCAGCTTGGAAGACCAAGTGTTTAGGGACTTCAGTTTTATAAAAGTGAAGTTCTTGCCTCCTAACACCACTCCTCTCCTCCAGCCCATGGACCAGCAGGTCATTTCTAACTTCAAGAAACTCTACACAAAAGCAGCGTTTCAAAAGTGCTTTGAAGTGACCTCGGACACTCAGTTGACCCTAAGAGAGTTATGAAGGAATCACTTCACTATCCTCCATTGCATAAGCCTTATAGGTAAGGCTTGGGAGGGAGTGACTTCCAGGACTTTGAACTCTGCTTGGAGAAAACTGTGGCCAGATTGTGTCCAAGAGAGGGATTTTGAAGAGTTTGAGGCTGACCCTGACCCTGCCAACCCTGTGGACTCTATTGTGGCACTGGGGAAGTCCCTGGGGTTGGAGGTGAGTGGCAAGGATATGGAAGAGTTGGTGGAGGACCACAGTGAAGAGCTAACCACTGAAGAGCTCTAAGAGCTTCAATTTGAACAGCAACAGACTGCAGCTGAGAAACTTGCTTCAGAGGAGGAGGAAGAGGGAGTGAAGGAGGTGCCTTCTTCATTGATTAAGAACATTTGTGCAAAGTTTTGTCGAGAAGTACCACCCTGACAAAGCTGAAACAAGCCAAATCTGCAGCATGTTTAGTGACAAAACCCTGTCCCACTTCAGAGAAACCTTAAAGAGACACCAGAAACAGACCTCTATGGACAGTTATTTTGTGAGACAGGGGTCCAGTGACTCTCAAGCTGGTCCTAGTGGCATTAAAAGATAAAGAAGGGAAGTAACCCCAGAGAAGGCTTTGCTACCTAAAGTCTTTATGGAGAGGGATTCCTCTTCCAAACACTAACTCCTCCCTTTTTCCTCCTCTCTATCTTCCAGAAGCCAGCATTAGCCTTCAATAATGGTATGTAATATTTATATAATTGTTAAAAAAAATGATTTTTTTCATGAATATTTTTTGTCTGGAATGGATTAATTGTATTTACATTAATTCTTATGGGAAATATTATTTTGGTTTTCGGCCGACCTTCTGGAACAGATTTCGGCCAATAACCAAAGGTCCACTGTACATTCTAGACAAATAAATTATATATATGAAGCTACTGTTAAGAAAATATCATCAATATGCCATGTGAAATGACAATATACTGTGCCAAAACAAAAGCATTCACATTGCTAAACTCATAAACTAGTATTTAGTCACTTAGCCATAAAACCAACTTACCTCATAATTTGTAATATTTTACAATTAAGGATAAAACTAAGTATGCCCGAAATGCCTAGCCATGCTAAGCGTTCTAGTGGTACACTCTGTAATCACAATTTTACTACATGTAAACCAAACAATAACCAAATTTCTGTAAACTCAGCATTGTAATCCTTATAGAGAATAAACTTGAATTAAAGTGACATGATGTGATGATACAGATTCTCTGTCTTTGTTATTAGTGGTTTTATGAGAGTTTTTGTTAAGTGGTCAGATTGAGAGACTTCTACTGTATTCTGTTTACAGAAAGTAGAATGTATTCTGTTTACAGAAAGTAGAATGTATTCTGTTTACAGAAAGTAGAATGTATTCTGTTTACAGAAAGTAGAATGTATTCTGTTTACAGAAAGTAGAATGTATTCTGTTTACAGAAAGTAGAATGTATTCTGTTTACAGAGAGCAGAATGTATTCTGTTTAGAGAGAGCAGAATATTCTTTTTTGAACTGTTTAGTATTTTGTAATGTTTTCACCTTACTGACTAGTTAATATGAAGCACCAAAGTCATCACATTCGCATGAAGAATAAAAACTGCTACATCTAATAGATAAATGCATATAGAAAATCTGGCCCATAACTACAGTACTTCCTTCCCATCACTGTAAAGAACTTTGAGAGCTACCCTGGAAATAATACTATGATATGTACTTCTTATCTTCTAGTTACCAAAATTAAAATAATTATCTGAATTTGCAATAAAAGCACATATAATTATTGCTTTGTTAGTTCTCCACAATTTGCAAATATAAAAATATAAAACCTGACTCCTAACAATTATTTGAAGCTATGGTAATTATTGCTCTTTTGATTCATTTTACTCTAAATATGTTAAAACTTCAGCTGCATTGTTGCATCTCCACAATCTTGTTATAAAAATATAAAAACCTGACTAATAATAATTATTCAGTTAATTATTGTTCCCTCTATTTAGTTAATCTTCATTTAATGTGTTAAAAATTAGTTGTATTATATCCTTTGCTTTATGCAGCAGAAGTGTTCCAGGCCCATGGAAGCTCTAGTAATTTGACTCAGGTCATCAGTATTTCATTCCTTATTACAGGAATCTACATAGCATTTTGCAAACTGCCCTGATCACATAAGGTGGATTTATGTAGCACATAGGAATTACTAGTAGAAATGAATCATTGCATGAAAGCGAATTTGTGTATAGTGAACCTACAAAAAAGAGGGATTGTAGTACTTACTTGCATTATCCTTTATATATTTACATTATCCCATTTCTTACTAATATGGAGGAATGTAGACTTCAAATTATGTATCTTATGAAGTTCTGCTCAAAACCCATTTACAAAAACCACACTCAAATATACAGGCATACCTCACTAATATGGTGCTCACTTCAGGGCACTTTGCTAATACGGCACATTTCAACTATGTTTATATTTATTATTTTTAGTGATTCAGCTGACTCAGAGCTGAACTGAGTGAACTCAAGGCTCAGATGATGAAGCTTCATTATCTCCTCCAGTCTTCCTTCAATATAATTACGTCTTCCAAAATGTTCATTCACTTAATAAATGAAAGTGTAAACATGTCTTTAGACTTTTATATGCACTGGCAAATGAAAAAAAGGCTGTGATTCTCTGTACAGCGGTGGTCTGAAACTTAACCCACCATATTAGCAAGGTATGCCCATATATGGTATAGAAAAACCATAAATTTGTATCCTATAACCTTTTCCTGAAAATAGCTACTGTATATTGTAACAAACAAGCAGATTTACTGGACAGGCTTGGGGTCAAACAGCCACATAAACAGTAGGCAATATGCCAATATAACCACAGCTGCAAAGCCACCCACAACCACTTTGATGTCCTGAAAAAAAAAAATTACAAATTGACAGAATTTACGTAAGTTATTTTACATTACAGGAGCTCATTCAACCTAAAGATAATACTGTTTACAATTAGGCACTCTTTCTTTAATTTTTTTTAGTAGTTCTTTATGAAAAAATATTTCAGATTGAATCCAGAAAAGAAATAAGAAAGTTGCTGTATTTTACTGACCACTTGTTCATCAGCTACCTCTCTTATGTATGTACTATGATTGTAATTAACTGCATAAGAAATCCTACTTAACAGTAGGTCTAATTCTTAAGTACAGTGGAACCTCAGTATACAACCAGCTCCCTACTCGAACAAGGCTCAGCACTCTACCAAACAAATACGACCTGCCAACCAAACAGAAAACTGGTTGGGAAGAACTTGTTCGATACTCAAAACAGAGCAGCACTCAAACATCCTTCTGGAATGAATTAAGGTCGCATACTGAGGTTCCAGTGTATTAGGATTATTTTGCTCAAAATGCTTTGCATACTAGTGGCTGTCTTCTGTGCCTACCAATGTTTTATTACATGTAAACTACATTATTTTTGTGCCACAAAGATAAATAAAAATTTGAATTTCAATTTCAAAGAGGCAAACTGACATTGCAGTGCAGTGAGATTCCTGGAGTGATTCATATACCAGTAACAATGTTGAGGAATGGAGTAAGAGTGCACAAATATTTTCATTCCATAATAATTTAAAGAATGTAAGGATATTGATGATTGGACAGATGCAAGATCAATATCACAAGGCAAAATAACAACACTTATATATGGTACCTGAGGAAAATTAACAAATTTGTGATATCCACTGTATGCAACTACAAATCAAGCACAGTATTCTACAAATTTATATATACAGTATATACACATATAAAACACAATGGAACCATCACTGGGGATGCCTTGATGTTGGTGAAAAACATCTGATCTAAGGAATTGTAAGTACTGTCCCATTCTTCAGGTCAAGTCTGAGTGCTCCCCATTCCCCCAGGTCCAAAGTTCTGATAGCTAAACAAGTTACAGGAGTAATGAACTATTTATCAAATATAAGCATGTGAATAGTTAATAACATAAGAAAGGAGGAACACTGCAGCAGGCCTACCAGCCCATATTTGGCAGGTCCTTGTCAAACCCAAATCCACTAAAAAATATTCGCCCAACCCATTATCAATGTTACCCAAGGAATAAGTTTTGGTAACCCTATTAACTCAAATGAAAGTCCCACTCAAATCCAACCCTTCTCACTCATATATTTATCTAACCTATATTTGAAGCTCCCCCAACTTTTAACTTCAATGACTCTACTAGTTCATTACCACTGTAACTCGTTTAGCTATCAAAACTTTGAGGCCCAGTCCCAGGACCCAGTATGTGCCTCAATGATCTTTTGACTACTGCCCACAGAATGGGTATGTGATGCATAATAAAGATGTTAAACTAACTCCCCAAGTGCTGCATAACCCCTAAGAGATTAAAATTATACAGAATACAGAGACAGAGACAGAGAGACAGACAGACAGAGACAGACAGAGAGACAGACAGACAGACAGACAGAGAGACAGACAGACAGACAGACAGACATCAACACCCTAACTAGTCAAAGACCCAATGGAGGGCCAACCTTCCACCACTCCTTGTTTTCTCTAGGCTAAATACTGCTGTACACTAACGGCCCCCTTCAAGGCTGGTGACACTGCAGACCTGGAGAGTGTACAAAGAACTTTCACAGCACTCATAAGTACGATAAGGCACCTAAATTACTGGGAACGGCTGAAGGTCCTTGACCTGTATTCCCTGGAATGCAGGCAAGAGATATACATGAAAATATACACTTGGGAGGTCCTGGAGGGATTGGTACCAAACCTGCACATGAAAATCACTCCCTATGAAAGCAAAAGACTCGGCAGGAGATGCAACAGTCCCCCGATGAAAAGCAGGGACACTATGAGTACATTGAGAGACAACACAATAAGTGTCTGGGGCCCAAGACTGGAGTTTACCTGGAGAGAGTTCCGGGGGTCAACGCCCTCGCGGCCCGGTCTGTGACCAGGCCTCCTGGTGGATCAGAGCCTGATCAACCAGACTGTTGCTGCTGGCTGCACGCAAACCAACGTACGAGCCACAGCCCGGCTGGTCAGGAACCGACTTTAGGTGCTTGTCCAGTGCTAGCTTGAAGACTGCCAGGGGTCTGTTTCTAATCCCCCTTATGTATGCTGGGAGGCAGTTGAACAGTCTCGGGCCCCTGACACTTATTGTATGGTCTCTTAACGTGCTAGTGACACCCCTGCTTTTCATTGGGGGGATGTTGCATCGTCTGCCAAGTCTTTTGCTTTCGTAGTGAGTGATTTTCGTGTGCAAGTTCGGTACTAGTCCCTCTAGGATTTTCCAGGTGTATATAATCATGTATCTCTCCCGCCTGCGTTCCAGGGAATACAGGTTCAGGAACCTCAAGCGCTCCCAGTAATTGAGGTGTTTTATCTCCATTATGCGCGCCGTGAAGGTTCTCTGTACATTTTCTAGGTCAGCAATTTCACCTGCCTTGAAAGGTGCTGTTAGTGTGCAGCAATATTCCAGCCTAGATAGAACAAGTGACCTGAAGAGTGTCATCATGGGCTTGGCCTCCCTAGTTTTGAAGGTTCTCATTATCCATCCTGTCATTTTTCTAGCAGATGCGATTGATACAATGTTATTGTCCTTGAAGGTGAGATCCTCCGACATGATCACTCCCAGGTCTTTGACATTGGTGTTTCGCTCTATTTTGTGGCCAGAATTTGTTTTGTACTCTGATGAAGATTTAATTTCCTCGTGTTTACCATATCTGAGTAATTGAAATTTCTCATCGTTGAACTTCATATTGTTTTCTGCAGCCCACTGAAAGATTCGGTTGGTGTCCGCCTGGAGCCTTGCAGTGTCTGCAATGGAAGACACTGTCATGCAGATTCGGGTGTCATCTGCAAAGGAAGACACGGTGCTGTGGCTGACATCCTTGTCTATGTCGGATATGAGGATGAGGAACAAGATGGGAGCGAGTACTGTGCCTTGTGGAACAGAGCTTTTCACCGTAGCTGCCTCGGACTTTACTCTGTCGACGACTACTCTCTGTGTTCTGTTAGTGAGGAAATTATAGATCCATCGACCGACTTTTCCTGTTATCCCTTTAGCACGCATTTTGTGCGCTATTATGCCATGGTCACACTTGTCGAAGGCTTTTGCAAAGTCTGTATATATTACATCTGCATTCGTTTTATCTTCTAGTGCATTTAGGACCTTGTCATAGTGATCCAATAGTTGAGACAGACAGGAGCGACCTGTTCTAAACCCATGTTGCCCTGGGTTGTGTAACTGATGGGTTTCTAGATGGGTGGTGATCTTGCTTCTTAGGACCCTTTCAAAGATTTTTATGATATGGGATGTTAGTGCTATCGGTCTGTAGTTCTTTGCTGTTGCTTTACTGCCCCCCTTTGTGGAGTGGGGCTATGTCTGTTGTTTTTAGTAACTGTGGGACGACCCCCGTGTCCATGCTCCCTCTCCATAGGAGAGGGATGAACACGGAGTTCCATGAGTCTGGCCCTGGGGCAGAGTGCATGGGCATGTCATTTATCGCCTGTTCGAAGTCATTTGGCGTCAGGATAACATCGGATAGGCTTGTGTTAACCAAATTTTGTGGCTCTCTTATAAAAAATTTGTTTTGATCTTCGACTCTCAGTCTGGTTAGCAGCTTGCTAAAAACTGAGTCATATTGGGACTTGAGTAGCTCACTCATTTCCTTGCTGTCAACTGTGTAGGACCCATCTTGTTTAAGTAGGGGCCCAATACTGGATGTTGTTCTCGACTTTGATTTGGCATAGGAGAAGAAATACTTTGGGCTTCTTTCGATTTCATTTATGGCTTTTAGTTCTTCCCGCGATTCCTGACTCCTATAAGATTCCTTTAGCTTGAGTTCGATGCTTGCTATTTCTCTGACCATTTCAGATATATTGACCTCTTTTAGCCGCTCTGTTATTCTTTTCCGTCGCCTGTAAAGGGAGCGCCTGTCTCTTTCTATTTTACATCTACTCCTCCTTTTTCTTAGAGGAATAAGCCTTGTGCATACATCGAGTGCCACCAAGTTAATCTGTTCTAGGCATACGTTGGGGTCCGTGTTGCTTAGTATATCTTCCCAGCTTATATCGGTTAGGACTTGGTTTACTTGGTCCCACTTTGTTTTTGTTATTGAAGTTGAATTTGGTGAATGCTCCCTCGTGACTAGTCTCATTATGTCGGTCTGGGGCTCCACGCATACATGTCTGAACCTCAATTATGTTGTAATCTGAGTATATTGTTTTTGATAAGTTACATTTCTTATCAGATCATCATTGTTAGTGAAGATGAGGTCTAGTGTATTCTCCAGTCTAGTAGGCTCTATTATTTGCTGGTTTAAATTGAATTTTGTGCAGAGATTTAAAAGCTCGTGTGAGTGTGAGTTTTCATCAGAGCTGCCTCCTGGTGTTATTACTGCAACAATATTATTTGCTATATTCCTCCATTTTAGGTGCCTTAATTTGAAATCCCCCAGGAGCAAGATGTTGGGTGCAGGAGCTGGAAGATTTTCCAGACAATGGTCAATTTTTAACAGCTGTTCCTGGAATTGCTGGGATGTTGCATCCGGAGGCTTGTAGACTACCACAATGACTAGGTTTTGGTTCTCGACCTTTACTGCTAAAACTTCCACTACATCATTTGAGGCATTTAGCAGTTCTGTGCAAACAAGTGACTCTGCAATGTACAGGCCAACCCCCCCCTTTTGCCTTTTCACTCTGTCACATCTGTATAGGTTGTAACCTGGGATCCATATTTCGTTGTCCAAGTGATCCTTTATGTGGGTCTCAGTGAAAGCCGCGAACATTGCCTTTGCCTCTGCAAGCAGTCCACGGATGAAAGGTATTTTGTTGTTTGTTGCTGGCTTTAGACCCTGTATATTTGCAAAGAAGAATGTCATCCCAGCATACATAAGGGGGATTACCAATAGACCCCTGGCTGTCTTCAAGAAGGCACTGGACAGGCACCTAAAGTCAGTACCTGACCAACCAGGCTGTGGTTCAAATGTCAGTTTGTGTGCAGCCGGCAGTAACAGCCTGGTTGATCAGACCCTGATCCACCATGATGCCTGGTCTCAGACTGAGCTGTGGGGGCGTTGACCCCCGACACCCTCTTCAGGTAAACTCGAAGTAGGTACATGGACTGAACGCTTCATGAAGTGCAATATAATTTGGGATACCTTGCCTTGGTGGGACACAGCCAAAATGTAAAAAAAAAAAAAAAAAAAAAAAAAATACATCTACAAGAAATATACAGTGGACCCCCGGTTAACGATATTTTTTCACTCCAAAAGTATGTTCAGGTGCCAGTACTGACCGAACTTGTTCCCATAAGAAATATTGTGAAGTAGATTAGTCCATTTCAGACCCCCAAACATACACGTACAAACGCACTTACATAAATACACTTACATAATTGGTCGCATTCGGAGGTAATCGTTATGCGCGGGTCCACTGTACTAACAATTTGTGACAATACTTGAATTTACAATAGGGTTAGGTGGACGATGTTTAAATACGTATATATGAAAGTAGTACACGTACCTCAACATGCTGCACAGAGAATACTGGGAGCCACAATACTAGAAATAATATTCAAGGCTAATATATTACCGAGGTCTTAGGAAAAGCAATGGAAGTGGATGTCATCAGGAAATAAAAAACACAGGAATAAATGAGATGACAGAATTAACATATGACTCTGACAATGCTGGTGAAGAGGTTGATGTAGTAAAATGAGTGAGTGATATCCTGAGTTGTTCTTTCTTTCTTGGGTTTATCAGGGCCACTGGCAGCATAAGCCGTATCGAGCCCAACTTCTTGATAGGATGAGGAAGATTTGTTGCCTAAGGTTGGGCGATGAGAGAAAAGAAACAAAAGTTCCTTTGTAAACAGAAATAGAACCTTGAAGTTTCCAATTAGATCTGGTGGACCCCCTTGCCAAGCCCCAGCAGAGTGGGACCCCCTACACCCCCACCTGAGTACAGTAACCAGCTTCCCACCAAAGACTGTTAAAGAATTATCCGCAGAGTGGAAAAAATGGAGCTGGCTAAAAGTAAGCCAATGAACAGGTGCCCCTCCTGTAGTGTGCCTGGCAGGCAAAATAGATGCGGGCAAGCGTCCCAGAGAGAATGGGGGAAATTTATCACTGATACTCAACGAAGGCTGGTGCAGAAGTTTGTGATATCCTGAGTGCACTGAAGAGAAGATAAGATGAAAGCTGATCGAAGGTCCTATACATAAGAACAATGAGGGGGAAATTACAGAAATAATTTCAAACTGGATTATTCAGTGATGGATATTTTATAAACATGCTGCTGAGAAGTGACATAAACACCAGAAAGTACTAATGATAGTTACAGGTGTTTTTGGCTTTATGCAGTAGATGCATTCTTGACCTAAGGCAGCTGTACTAACCTCAGGCCATAAACACTTAACTCTGTATAATAAGAGCCTCCAAATACTTTGCAAAGTATACCAATCATATACAACGAATATATATCATGCTTATGGAGTTTTCAATTCAAAATTCCACAGTTCAAGTCTTTTTCACTGAATGTGAAATACCATACAGTAATAGCAAATGCACACAAAGTCTTTTGGACCCACATACAGCAAGAAACCTGTACATATATAAAATCTTATTTCAAACATTATATGAATCTTGTTTTTGTTTTTTTTAACACATTGGCTGTCTCCCGCCGAGATAGGGTGACCCGAAAAAGAAGAAACGCTTTCACCATCTCTCATTCCAGCACTGGTGTGCCAGAGGCACATCAATACTACAGTTCAAATGCCACTCCAAACTGATCTTGCAGTTTAATAAGTAAAACAGTTGTTCATGATAACATTCCATAAACCCAAGTGCACTAACCTGAGTTACTTTATAAGAACTGCTGTTTCTTTCAGTGTGTTTCTTTAAGTCCTTAACAGTTGTGGTTGTCTGCCTCTTGTTATGTTTACCTGAGAATAACATGAGCATTAAGAGAAAGCCATGCGATGAAACTTCTCTTCAGTTTATCAATATATCAGGCAGAGCTATAGGAGTAAATATTTTTTAAATTAGTGTCTCTTAATAGCTACAATAGGGCCCCGACTAGCATTAGGGACCCAACTAATTTCTTATACAAATCTCTGTACATTTTCTAGCTCTAATATCTTCCCTGCCCAGACACTGTTCCAGACATGAAACCACAAATGATTTGAATAGTGTCACTATTAGTGTTAGTTCTTGTCTTTAAAGTTTTCATTATCCACCTTATCATTTTTCTGTCCTTTGCAGCATTTACCTTATTGTGCTCTCCAAATGAGAGGTCATTCAGCATTATTATACTACCTAAGTTCTTTTACGTGTTCCTAATCTTCTATGCGATGGTCCTCCTGTGTTTTTCATGAAATGCTCATTTGAGTTCTTTATTCTCTTCATTTCTGAGTTCTTGGAATGTGTCACTATTGAATATCAATGCTATTATTCATTGCCAACCGGAAGATTTTGTGGATATCTACCAGCAATTTGTATCTTCCACTTAGGCAGATCCATGCATATTTTGGTACTGTGTACAAAGGACAATGTGAAAATGTAACTATAGTGTTTTCAGGATGAGAAAGAGTGAAGGCACCAGGACCATGCTGATGCTACCTTGTGCTGTCTTAACTACTACTGCTGTATTTGTCTTCTGTTTGTTAGAAAATTTAATATCCATTCTTTTACTTTAACAGTTATATCTACTGACTTCAGTTTATGGGGATACACTCCATGACTGCATTTGTCAAATGCCATAGCAAAATGAAAAACAGCTTACTTGGCAAAAAATATAAACAATGCAAATAGATAAAGAATTATTTCTCACTCACCAATCTGTTTCCTATAATTGTCTACCGGAAGGCTTGGCATTTGAGCATCCTTTCGACCCATCTGGAAAATGCCCAAGCTTAACAGCTAAAACTTAAGTATCATTATGAGGCAACATACTCCTCATTTATAGCACATCAATTTTAGTACTTTTAGGTCAGAGCACACCAATATAAGGCCCTTGTAACTCATCATGCTAATCCATGGCACATCCAACTCACAGCATACGTATGTACTAATTCATAACACTTCCAAGTCATAGCATACTAATATATAATATTTCCATTTCCTGGCATATTAATACATAACATTTCCAGTTAGCAGCATACTAATCCGTAACATTTCAGACTAACAACATACTAATCTATAACATTTCCGGCTCACAGCATACTACGTAATCTGTAACATTTCTGACTAACTGCATACTAATCCATAACACTCTTACTGGTGTGCTATACTGAGGTTTTACTAGCAGGCATAGAGATAATGAATATTAAACAGAACAGTAATTTAATAAGAGACAGTTCAGCATTTACACTTTCTGTATTTCAATGCAAGAGCTATGATTAAAGTAAACAAAAAAATGTATTAGACATAAACATTTATGATCATTACTATAAAATATTTTTTTTTTTTCAACACGTCGGCCATCTCCCACCGGGGCAGCGTGACTCAAAAAAGAAACACTTTCACCATCATTCAATACTTTCACACTTTCACCATTCAATACTTTCACACTTTCACCATCATTCACACATAATCACTGTCTTTGTAGAAATGCCCAGATATGACAGTTTAGATGTCACTCCAAACATCCAATATCCCAAACCAATCCTTTAATTCTTAAACTGTCCAAACGTAGTCTTGTTTACGCGTGTAACACTCTGACCTTGATTTTCCTCATTTGAAAGCATGTAAAAAAAAAGTAGATCCACGTTCGGAGTGCTATGCGAGCGAATGTAGATCTACTTTTGGACAGTTTTAGGGGTTAAAGTGCAGGCTGGTTTTTTAATACACATTTTAGGTCCTTTGATTTGTATGGAGTGAATGCTCAGTTTGAGTCATACATATGGAGCATTATATTTCTATATTATTACATTATATTACATTATACAGTGGAACCTTGGTTTTCGTATGCCCTGGTTTGTATGTAAAACTAGTTATTCTCTATAAAATGTATTTTTTGTTAATATTTTTGGGTGTCTGGAACAGATTAATTGGATTTATGTTATTTCTTATGGAAAATACACCTACCATCTGACTTACAACCTGCTCGACTTACGACCACTCGACTTACGACCGTGTTTTTTATGCCAAATTTCTGGGAAATAAACAACTATTTGTGTTGTACACAGTGTTTATCCTAAACTTTACAGTATAAAATACAGTACTAACAACATAAAAAGTAAAGTAAAACATGAAATACCAAAATAAAACAATAAAATAGTCATTACAAAAATGTTTTGTTGATATTCAGTAGTAAAGTTCGACTTATGACCATTTCGACTTACGACCGGTTTCTCGGAACCGAACTCGGTCATAAGTCGGATGGTAGGTGTATTAACAAAAAATACATCTTATAGAGAATAACTATAGTTTTACATACAAACTAGGGCATACAAAAATCGAGGTTCCACTGTATTTTATTATACAGGTCCACATCCCTTTATCCGAAACCCTTGGGGCCAGTAGTGTTTCGAATTTCAGAATTTTTCAATTTTCAGAATGAAGGTGATGTCTAGGGCAGTACCCCATAATCAAACATTAACACTGCAGCAAAAATGTATGAATGCTCACATTAAGTGGTATAAATAAAGACTACAAATACAGTGGACCCTCGACCAACGCTGGCATCGTCTAACGTTAAATCCGACTAGCAATACATTTTAACGCAAAAATTTTGCCTCGACTATCGCTAAAAAGTCCGACCAATGCTATTCGTTCTGTTTGAGACACGTCCACTTTGGCCTGAGCGCGCCTCACTTGTCCCGTGGGTGCCAGTGTTTACAAGCCAGCCAGCCACCACGATCTCATCCAAACATACAATCGGAACATTTCATATTATCACGAGTCCTAATGGAAGGGGATTCCCCTTCTAAACACTAAGACCATCAACACTCTCCCCTCCTCCCATCCCATCAATCATCACCAGATCTTCAATAAAGGTAAGTGTCATGTAACTGTGCATGTCTTCTTCAGTTTGTGTGTATTAAAATTAATATTTCATGCAGTAAAAACAATTTTTTTTCATACTCTGGGGTGTCCTGCACGGATTAATTTGATTTCCATTATTTCTTATGGGGAAAATTAACTTGACTAACGATAATTTTGACTAACGATGAGCTCTCAGGAACGGATTAATAGCGTTAGTCGAGGGTCCACTGTACTACTATGGTTTATTTATAAAGTAATATATTGATAAATGAAATAATGGGATAATTATAGATCAGGAACATGATTCTCAAGATGATTGACAGATGGCATTTTTAAAGACTTCTTCAAGTGTCATCTGTCTTATTAACATAGGTTTCTGTCTAAGCAATCTCTCTTTAACTGAGTAAATTGCTATAATCTCTTGCTCACTGATAAATGTACATTGTTCAAGGCCAGCAATTAACTGATCACACACTTTCACCATATTGTCTATGGGGACTTTTTCACCTGTGTTCAAAATGTCATCATCATCATCATCCTATTTTTCATTAGTTTTTGGTCATCACTATCACTATATGTAATACTTCAGTAACTTGTCTTTCTGTTTCTTTAAATCATAAACAGTGGTAGTTTCAACATGGCAGCATTGGAGTTATGTAGAGATGACTGATGCTCCACACTCCACGAAAAAGCTTTGATTTTTGGAATTTTTGGAATTTCAGAATTTCGGATAAAGGGACGTGGACTTGTATTACATTATTATATTACATGATATTTCTAGTGCTATTAATAGGTGATCTGTTGGTGCTTAAAGGAAGATGTTGAGGATTGTTCTAAAGTCTATTTTTATTTGTGAATAATTACTGGGGCAGAAGCTTATATAAATAAGGCTATAGTGTTTGTCTCCATATCTGAAACATCGACAACCACTTCTGTAAAGGGATTCATGAAATCGTAATAACACAATTGCAAACAAAACACGGAATGGGTGGCGACTGAACCCATGATAAGTGAGTTGAGGACTCACTTGCCATGGGTTCAATCCCCGCTCATTGAGTGGTTTGCAGAGGGAGACTGTGGAGGACTCCAGACAGGTGCAAAAGAAGATAAAGAAGACAGATATGATGAATCAGCAGTATTAGCAGAAAGGCAAGAAGACTCTGGATGATTAGTAGTCTTTTAATAAATATAAGAGTTGGAAGCAGATGAAGACTGCACCATCCTGAAAGTTTGGATACAGAGTGAAGACACGTGGTTCACAACAAAGGACCTGAATTCAATCCTGGCTAGAAAGGGACCACTGGGCATGTTTACTAATACCCTGTACCTAATAATAATAATAATATATAGAAAGCCCCTTGTTATGTAGAGCATTTTGGGCAAATTAGGTCAATTTTGTCCCAGGATGCAACCCACACCAGTCGATTAACACCCAGGTACCTATTTTACTGATGGGTGAACATGGACAGAAGGTGTCTTAAGGAAACACGTCTGAATGTTTCCAGTTGTACCGGGTATCGACCCCCAGACCTCAGGGTGTGAGCTGAGTGAGATAGCGGTTGAGCTATGGACACCTGTTGCTCCTGCTCACCTAGCAGGAATACGTGGGCACACGTGTTCAAATTCGAATATTTTATATCTTTTATGGAGTATACAGATAATATTGTAGGCATAAAAGAAAGTCACTAGCATGCAGTGCATTTCTTGCAAACTAATCCTAATGCTTAAAAACTATTTAAGAACTAGACACACATTATTAAGGAGGAGTTATTAAATGTACAAAAAAGAGAGATAAGTAAATGAACAATAGTACAATTTTAAAAGTATGCATCAATACTTCAGACTGATTCAATGATCTTCAGTTAAGTAGGATTTCTTAAGCAGTTAACTACTATTGTAAAAGGTAGCAAATGTATGAATGGCACAATTTAAGGTATGATTTGTTAGGTGACTGTTGTGGATCGCATCCTGAGGAAGCAGACTAAAGAATCCTAACGGAAACAGGCCATATATGTATAATGACCTTAAGTTATTCTAGGTTACTAACCCTCTGGGTTAAGTATCTGAATAAGATCTTCAACCATGTATAGGGACCCCATGGAAATAAATCTTTTATTTAGTTATTGAAGGGATATCACAGACTGTCATCTTAACTTGACACTTCTACATGACTATGAATTTTTCCTTACTGAAATGAACTTCAATAAGCAAGTATGATGCTGACCTCAATAATAAACCAATCAATCATTCGATTATTTGAATATATACATTGACTGTCAAGCTGGGAAGATTTGCATTAAGTTTTTTGAACTATTCTTTTATGCACGTATAAACAGTACATTGCTTAGGGCAGGGAAGGAAAGCAATATGATTATTATTATTTTCATTGGTCATAGAGCACCTAAGTAGGGTTGAGAAGCTTAAATTCTCTGGATCAAGAGCCCTTCACTGACATCGTGGCATCCTCTTCCCTGAAAGTGAAAAGATTTTATTTGGATTATTAACCCAAAAGGTTAGTGATCCAGGATAACCCAAGAAACGTACCTTGTAACAGTGGTTATCACACTAGGCTCACTACCAATAGCACATGGGGTCGAACCCCACATAATTGCTACATATGGTGAAGGGGATAAAATAGCATATTGAAAATATCTTGCCGAGACAGGACTTGCAACAATGGATTCAAACTGGAGAAATTTAGATGAGAAATAACATGAGGAAGTTCTGGTTTGGCAATCGAGTTGAAGATCAGTGACAAACTCCCAGGCAGTGTACTTGAAGTGAGAACTTTTGGTAGCTTTAAATATAGGTTATATAGGCATACGTATAAGTTGGTATGAGTTAGGCCTGCCTACCATGGGCCAATAGGCCTACTGCAGTGTTACTTCATATGTGGTCTCATGTATAACCAGTCTATGCAGATTAGATTTTTTTAGATTTTGCCACCGAAGTGGCTAGTTTATTGTGCACCCCATATCCATCCTGTGGACGGTAGCGCGAGAGCATATGGATACACAAAAGGCCTAGGAACTAGGCCCCAAAGGGTTAACATGAATACATATGGATTTATATCTACATATCTATAGTTCACTTATCTGTTACAAGCAAATTTAGGAAATTTGCTTAGTATATCTGGTATCTTATTTTCATTAATAAGATATCTTGACATGTCACATAGGTTATTATACTGTCTGTCTCTGTATTCCTCAATAAGTGGACAATTAAGCACATAGTGTTCAAGAGAGTGACCATATGCCTGATCACATAATTTACATTTAGTTTGATCATCATCTGTGTGTCTCCCAAACTGCCAGAAGTACTTGTAACCAAGCCTAAGCCTGGCTATTACAACATCAGTCAGTCTGTTCACATCGCAAGTTGCTCCATAAACATACTTATCTACGTTCATGTTATCATAGTGGGTTATAGATCTACTCAGGCTTCTAACTGCATTCCTATAACAATCATTTTCATTATTTACTTCTCTCCTAATATTATTCCTAATGCTAGACACAGTTATACCAAAGTTATATTCTACATTCTCCTTTTGGGTACTCTTTTTGGCTAACATATCAACTTTATCATGAAGGAGTAATCCAATGTGTGATGGGATCCATAGCAATTGTACATTAATTCCTTTGTCCCTAATTTTTGAGTATCTTTACCTGGCTTCTCCAATGAGCATGTTGTTGGAGTCATTATATGAGTCAAGAGCCTTCAATGATGACATAGAATCAGTAATGATGATAGAGTCAAGCTCAGTGTCATAGGTTAGCTTTAGCACCATTAGGATTGCAAACAATTCAGTTTGCAGTGTAGACGCCAAATTGTTAATTCTTATGCCTAACTCAACAAATTTATTATCGTTCTTAACTAGGGAGGTGGCAACAAGAGCAGATGCAGCCCTGCCAGAAGACTCCTGTTTAGATCCATCAGTGTATATAACTTGTGATAACTTATTACTACCAGCTAGGTGAGAAATTTCTTCTTGAGCAGTTGCTCTAACAAGAGATTTAAGGAAGGGATTACTAGCAATGATATAAATTATCATTATCACTTGCTGTCCCTGTTATTTATTATTTATTAACACATCAGCCATTTCCCACCAAGGCAGGGTGGCCCAAAAAAGAAAAACTTTCATCATCATTCACTCCATCACTGTCTTGTCAGAGGTGTGCTTACACTACAGTTATAAAACTGCAATATTAACACCCCTCCTACAGAGTGCTGGCACTGTACTTCCCATCTCCAGGAATCAAGTCCAGCCTGCAGTTTCCCTGAGACCCTTCATAAAGGATTTCAGGGAAACTGCAGGCTGTCAAGTCCTAAAAACCATTTGTCTCCATTTGCTCCTATCTAACACGCTCATGCATGCCTGCTGGAAGTCCAAGCCCCTCGCACACAAAACTTCCTTTACCCCCCTCCCTCCAACCTTTCTTTCCTAGGCTGACCCCCTACATTCTCGAAGTCATTCTATTTCGTTCCATCTTCTCTACATGTTCAAACCATCTCAATAAACCCTCCTCAGCCCTTTGGATTATAGTTTTGGTAATCCTGTACCTCCTCCTAATTTCACACCACACATTGCCCTCAGGCATGACATCTCTACTGCCTCCAGCCTTCTCCATGTTGCAACATTCACAACCCATGCCTGACACCCATACATGAGCATTGGTATAACTATACTCTCATACATTCCCCTCTTTGCTTTCATGGATAAAGTTCTGTCTCCACAGACTCCTCAGTTCACCACTCACCTTTCTCCCCTTGTCCATTCTATGATTCACCTTATCTTTCATAGACCCATCTGCTGACACATCTACTTCCAAATATCTGAATATATTCACCTCCTCCATACTCTGTCCCTGTTGCCTTGTGGTAAATAGATACCTGTGTGTTAGTCTACCTTTGAGGGTTGCATCCTGGGGTGGAACTAAAACAGGACCCTGGTGGAAATAGGCCACAATGAGTGGCTTTACAGGGTTATCCTGGGTTGTCAATCCATCATGGTTAATTATTCAAATAAAGCCTCCAGTCTGGTTTATAATTAATTTGGTTCTTTAGTCTTTTTTCCCAGGATGCAACTCACAAGAGTTCACTAACACCCAGGTACCTACTTACTGCTCAGTGAACAGAGGCAAAAGGTGTAAGGAACCATACATGGAGCACAGACTTGGGGGACAAAAGCTGGAAATCTCACTCAAGGATAAGGATCTTGGGTGAGTATCATAATGAGCACATTCCCTGAGATGCACATCAACCAAATAACTGCCAAAGCAAATGCATGCCTGGCAAATCTAAGAATAGTATTTTGACATTTGGGTAAGAGGTTATTCATGACACTGTACACCATGTAAGTTAGGCCCATAGTGGAGTATGAGGCACCAATATGGAGCCCACACCTGGTCAAGAATATCAAGAAATTCCAGAAAGTGCAGAGGTTTGCAACAAGACTAGTCCCAGAGCTAATGAGGAGAGGTTAAGGGAACTCAACCCGATGACACACGAGAGATAGGAGACACATGATAACGATGTACAAAATGCTGAGAGGAATTGACAAGGTGGACAGGGACAGAATGTTTCAGAGATGAGACACAACTAGAAGCTGAAAACTCAGATGAGCCACAGAGATGTTAGGAAGCATTTCTTCAGCCATAGAGTTGTCAGGAAGTGGAACAATCTGGAGAGTGATGTAGTGGAGGCAGGACCCATACACAGCTTTAAGAAGAGGTATGATAAGGCTCTTGGAGCAGGGAGAGAGTGGACCTAGTAGCAACCAGTGATGTGGCAGGGACAGGAACTGTGAATCGACCCTTGCAACTATATATAGGCGAGTACATGCTGTCTCCATCCTTACTGGGTTTGAACCCAGGTCTTTTAGATGTGAGCCGAGGGTGCTACCACGAGTGCTTATTTAGGCCACATACGCATAATTGTAAACTATTAATGTTTTATATGATAAATTACACAGAATTTAACCTAAAATAACACAAAATAGGATCAAGCACTGTAATTTATTTCCATCTGGATTTACGTTGTTTTATGTGGTAAATTATGGAAAATTTAATTTGGGACAACCCATATACAGTGAGTATTTTCATTGGGGTACCTATCAGTTTATGTTAGTCATGAAGGAGCGCTAAACCCGTTCGAGTCATGTTACACCCTCAACGCCTCATTTAGCACCACTGTCTCTCACTATTATTTATATCTATAGAGATATATGGCCAAATAACCTCACATGTGTGTATAATATTGGTATATAAGCGCTCCATACCTCTGATATGTGTGTTTAAGTTAGGATCACTTGGTTAACTTGGTGAAGCTCAGTAAACTATCATACATCCTCACTACACTTGTTATACCACAATGTTAATAACTTTATTTAGGTATACTTCCACATTTTTGGATCATTACAGGTGTCTTATCTATTAATATGTATAAATTACTCAAGATAACTCCCACAAAAAAACTCAATTATTTCCTTCAAGGAAGGTTCCTTGATGTTGGTGAGGGGCTCTTGATTTAGGGAATTGGATCTGTGCTCCAGTTCCCCGAATTAAGCCTGAATGCCTTCCACATCTCCCCCAGGCGCTGTATAATCCTCCGGGTTTAGCGGTTCCCCCTTGATTATAATAATAATAATCCACGGGTCCGGTGGCCTGGCGGCTAAAGCTCCCGCTTCACACACGGAGGGCCAGGGTTCGATTCCCGGCGGGTGGGAACATTTCGACACGTTTCCTTACACCTGTTGTCCTGTTCACCTAGCAGCAAATAGGTACCTGGGTGTTAGTCGACTGGTATGGGTCTCATCCTGGGGGACAAGATTAAGGACCCCAATGGAAATAAGTCAGACAGTCCTCGATGACGCACTGACTTTCTTGGGTTATCCTGGGTGGCTAACCCTCCGGGGTTAAAAATCCGAACGAAATCTTATATTACATAGTCAAAATCAGTTATCATCACTGACAGTAAAACAAAATAAGGAGAGTAAATCAATTAAGTAAGTAAGTAAGCTTTAGTTATATAACTATTAAGCTGAGAAAAAGTAAGTTCAATATAACTTGTACGAATATTAACTATGTCATTAATAACTTCAATGGAAATGTCACCTGACCTTTTTTGGGTTATCCTAGGTGGTTTACATATATTATTATACAAGACAATTTAATCATCCAAAGATTGTGTAATTGTACCCGAATGAACGTACTGACTTACCAAGGACACAGAGGGAAATAAGTCATTTTTTCTAACTTTTTTTTTTTTTTTTGGGGGGGGGGGAGGGGTTATCCTAGGTAATTTACGCATGTTACTATCAAATATTATCTCTCGGTCCACAGCAGGATTCGAACCTGCAGACTGTGTCAGAGTACACAGAGTACTTTGGCCACTGAGTGGATAAAGTACTTTGTACTCTTGACAGTGTGCAGGTTCGAATCCTGCTGTGGACTGAGATAATAATAATAATAATGGGGGAACGCTGAACCCGTAGGATTATACAGCGCATGCGGGGGGGATGGAAGGTATTTATTTATTTATTTATTTATTTATTTATTTAGAAATTTAAGCATACATACAGAGGTACAAAAAATACAGGTAAGAGCAGCATGCCAAAGCCACTTATATGCATAGCATTATGGGCTGGCTTAAAATTAACTTAAGATTAACTAAGCAATGATGAAATCAGTGATAAAACATTATTGTAAACAGATAACTATAAAGCACAAATGAGTATTACAAAGACAGGTCATATGGTTGCATGCATTGCTGTACATTCAGTAGAATGGAGTATTCTGTTAGGTAGTGTATTTAAAAAAGTAACAAAGTTAGATTGGGTCTTAGGTTTAACATTTGTGTGATATAATTGTGAGAAACATTTAAGATATACAATTTATAAGGTTCAGTTATTCAGTATTTATTTGGTTTTGAGTGAGTAAGTGATCTTTGAGAAGAGACTTGAATTTATAAACAGGTAGTGTTTCTTTTATATTTACAGGTAATGAATTCCAGATTTTAGGGCCTTTTATGTGCATTGAGTTTTTGCATAGCGTGAGATGGACACGAGGAACATCAAAGAGTGATCTGTGCCTTGTGTTATGGTCATGTGTTCTGTTGAGGTTGGCAAGGAGATGTTTGAGGGGAGGGTTAATATCAGAGTTAAGTGTTCTATGTATGTAATAGTTGCAATAATAAGTATGGATGTTTTGTATGGTGAGTAGGTTGAGTGTTTTGAATATTGGTGGAGTGTGTTGCCTGTAGTGAGAATTTGTTATCATTCTAACTGCAGCCTTTTGTTGGGTAATTAGTGGTCTGAGATGGTTAATTGTTGTTGAGCCCCATGCACAAATTCCATAGGTGAGATAGGGGTAAATAAGAGAGTGATATAGGGCCAGGAGGGCTGACTGTGGAACATAGTACCGTATCTTCGATAGTATGCCTACAGTCTTAGAAATTTTCTTAGAAATTTGTTGTATATGTGTATGAAATTTGAGTCTATTATCGAGGTGGATTCCTAGGAATTTTCCCTCTGTTCGCTTTGTGATAGGTGATCCGTTTATTGTTATGTTAAGAGGTACATCTGTAGCTCTGTTACCAAACTGAATGAAGTAGGTTTTGTCAATGTTTAGTGTAAGTTTGTTAGTCCTCATCCAGGTAGATATTTTCTGTAATTCGGTGTTTACAGTATTGGCTAGCGTGACTGGGCTCGGGTGAGAGAAGACGTATGTAGTGTCATCTGCAAAAAGTGTGGGTTTGAGTAATTGCGAAGCATTTGGTAGGTCATTTATGTATAGGAGAAAGAGAAGAGGGCCAAGGACACTTCCCTGTGGGACACCAACTGTAATTGGTTGTGCGGAAGAGGCTCAATTCAGAGAACTGGAGCACAGATAGGCTGGAATATTGCTGCACTCTAACAGCACCTTTCAAGGCAGGTGAAATTGCCGACCTAGAAAATGTACAGAGAACTTTCACGGCGCGCATAACGGAGATAAAACACCTCAATTACTGGGAGCGCTTGAGGTTTCTAAACCTGTATTCCCTGGAACGCAGGAGGGAGAGATACATGATTATATACACCTGGAAAATCCTAGAGGGACTAGTACCGAACTTGCACACGAAAATCACTCACTACGAAAGCAAAAGACTTGGCAGACGATGCACCATCCCCCCAATGAAAAGCAGGGGTGTCACTAGCACGTTAAGAGACCATACAATAAGTGTCAGGGGCCCGAGACTGTTCAACTGCCTCCCAGCACACATAAGGGGGATGACCAACAGACCCCTGGCAGTCTTCAAGCTGGCACTGGATAAGCACCTAAAGTCAGTTCCTGATCAGCCGGGCTGTGGCTCGTACGTTGGTTTGCGTGCAGCCAGCAGCAACAGCCTGGTTGATCAGGGGCTGATCCACCAGGAGGCCTGGTCACAGACCGGGCCGCGGGGGCGTTGACCCCCGAAACTCTCTCCAGGTAAACAGATCCAATTCCCAAGATCAAGAGCCCCTCCCCAGCATCAAGGAACCTCCCTTGAGGGGTGCGGACTGATAATGTTTCCTAAAAGTTCAACCGTTTGCGAATTGTTAAGCATATGTTACTATGTATGATAACTGTACTTATACCTAAATAAACATTCTTACGCAGGGGCGGACTTACAGTGAAGCTTAAACTATTAATAACCCAACATAAAGCTTAACTTACTTAACTTTCACTTATTTACCTTTAACTTACATTTACTTACCTTATCCTACCTTACCTTACATTTACTTACCTTAGACTTACTTAACTTACATTTATTCACCTAACTTAAACTTACACTTACTTACCTTGACTTAACTTACACTTACCTTACATTTACTTAACTTACATTTACTTATCTTAACTTACACTTACATTTACTTAACTTGACTTATACACTTACTTACCTTACCTGACTTACACTTACTTAACTTGACTTACACTTACTTACCTTACATTTACTTGACTTACACTTACTTACCTGGAGAGAGTTCCGGGGGTCAACGCCCCCGCGGCCCGGTCTGTGGCCAGGCCTCCTGGTGGATCAGAGCCTGATCAACCAGGCTGTTACTGCTGGCTGCACGCAAACCAACGTACGAGCCACAGCCCGGCTGGTCAGGTACCGACTTTAGGTGCTTGTCCAGTGCCAGCTTGAAGACTGCCAGGGGTCTGTTGGTAATCCCCCTTATGTATGCTGGAAGGCAGTTGAACAGTCTTGGGCCCCTGACACTTATTGTATGGTCTCTTAACGTGCTAGTGACACCCCTGCTTTTCATTGGGGGGATGTTGCATCGTCTGCCAAGTCTTTTGCTTTCGTTGTGAGTGATTTTCGTGTGCAAGTTCGGTACTAGTCCCTCTAGGATTTTCCAGGTGTATATAATCATGTATCTCTCCCGCCTGCATTCCAGGGAGTACATGTTCAGGAACTCCAAGCGCTCCCAGTAACTGAGGTGTTTTATCTCCGTTATGCGCGCCGTGAAGGTTCTCTGTACATTTTCTAGGTCAGCAATTTCACCTGCCTTGAAAGGTGCTGTTAGTGTGCAGCAATATTCCAGCCTAGATAGAACAAGCGACCTGAAGAGTGTCATCATGGGCTTGGCATCCCTAGTTTTGAAGGTTCTCATTATCCATCCTGTCATTTTTCTTGCAGATGCTTACCTTACATTTACTTACGAACATAAGAACATAAGAAAGAACACTGCAACAGGCCTACTGACCCATGTGGAGCAGGTCCATGTCCCCCGGAAGAGCCCAATGACCCACCCAGTCTGGTCACCTCCACTCAAGGAAGGAACACGGCACCAGACCCAGCAGCACCAGGTAGTCAGGTCCAGTTCACACCCACCCACACCCACTCGTGTATTTATCTAACCTATTTTTAAAACTACACAACGTTTTAGCCTCAATAACTGTACTCGGGAGTTTGTTCCACTCATCCACAACTCTATTACCAAACCAGTGCTTTCCTATATCCTTCATGAATCTGAATTTTTTCCAACTTGAAACCATTGCTGCGAGTCCTGTCTTGGCTGGAAATTTTCAGCACGCTGTTTACATCCCCTTTATGTATTCCTGTTTTCCATTTATACACCTCGATCATATCCTCCCTAATTCTACACCTTTCGAGAGAGTGCAGATTCAGGGTCCTCAGTCTATCCTCATAGGGAAGATTTCTGATACATGGGATCATCTTTGTCATCCTCCTCTGTACGTTTTCCAGAGCATTTATATCCATTCTGTAATACGGTGACCAGAACTGAGCAGCATAGTCTAAATGAGGCCTAACCAAGGATATATTGAGTTGAAGAACAACCTGAGGACTTCTATTATTTATACTTCTAGATATGAAGCCAAGAATTCTGCTAGCTTTATTGCGAACACTAATGCACTGTTGTCTTGGTTTTAAATTACTGCTAACCAGAACTCCTAAATCCTTTTCGCAATCAGTAGTATTAAGATCTACATTATTTAGTTTATATGTCTCATGGTTATTTTCCTGTCCAACTTTTAGAACTTTGCATTTGTCTATATTAAACTGCATCTGCCACTTCTTCGACCATTGCATCAGTCTATTCAAATCATCCTGGAGTGCTCTAATGTCCTCATTAGAATGAACTGGACGGCCTATTTTGGTGTCATCAGCAAATTTGCTTATGTCGCTATTTATTCCCTCATCTAAGTCGTTTATGTAAATTGTAAACAACAACGGTCAACGGGCCAAACACTACCTTTGTGGAACACCGCTTGTGACGTGCTCCCATTCTGATTTCTCCCCATTTATGCAAACTCTCTGCTGCCTATTTGTCAGCCATGCCTCAACCCAGGAAAAAATTTCTCCTATTCCGTGTGCCTTAAGTTTCCTCAGTAGCCTCTGATGTGGAACTATATCGAAGCTTTACTGAAGTCCATATACACAATATCATATTCATTACCATGATCTACCTCCTCAAACACCTTAGTGAAAAAATACACAAATAACCCGCACATAAAAGAGAGAAGCTTACGACGACGTTTCGGTCCGACTTGGACCATTTACAAAGTCACACTGACTTAGTAAATGGTCAAAGTCGGACCGAAACGTCGTCGTAAGCTTCTCTCTTTTATGTGCGGGTTATTTGTGTATCGTTCCAGTCACGGTATTGTGCCTTTTTTTGTTACTTAGTGAAAAAAGTTAGTAAATTCGTAAGACAGGGACGCCCCTTTGTAAAAACCGTGTTGAGATTCATTAATCAATCTGTGCCTATCAAGATGGCTACGAATTGCTTCGTCAATTATTGATTCTATAAATTTTCCCACTATGGAGGCAAGGCTTATTGGTCTATAGTTCGAAGCCAAGGACCTGTCACCTGCCTTGTAAATAGGTATTACATTTGTCATTTTCCACTTATCAGGCACTATGCCAGTTTGTAGTGATATGTTAAAAAGATTACCTGGAGTTTACCCGGAGAGAGTTCCGGGGATCAACACCCCCGCGGCCCGATCTGTGACCAGGCCTGGTGGATCAGAGCCTGATCAACCAGGCTGTTACTGCTGGCTGCACGCAATCCAATGTACGAGCCACAGCCCAGCTGGTCAGGTACCGACTTTAGGTGCTTGTCCAGTGCCAGCTTGAAGACTGCCAGGGGTCTATTGGTAATCCCCCTTATGTATGCTGGGAGGCAGTTGAACAGTCTTGGGCCCCTGACACTTATTGTATTGTCTCTTAACGTGCTAGTGACACCCCTGCTTTTCATTGGGGGGATGTTGCATCGTCTGCCAAGTCTTTTGCTTTCGTAGTGAGTGATTTTCGTGTGCAAGTTAGGTACTAGTCCCTCTAGGATTTTCCAGGTGTATATAATCATGTATCTCTCCCACCTCCGTTCCAGGGAGTACAGGTTCAGGAACTTCAAGCGCTCCCAGTAATTGAGGTGTTTTATCTCCGTTATGTGCGCTGTGAAGGTTCTCTGTACATTTTCTAGGTCAGCAATTTCACCTGCCTTGAAAGGTGCTGTTAGTGTGCAGCAATATTCCAGCCTAGATAGAACAAGCGACCTGAAGAGTGTCATCATGGCCTTGGCATCCCTAGTTTTGAAGGTTCTCATTATCCATCCTGTCATTTTTCTAGCAGCTGCAATTGATATAATGTTATGGTCCTTGAAGGTGAGAACCTCCGACATGATCACTCCCAGATCTTTGACGTTTGTTTTTAGCTCTATTTTGTGGCCGGAATTTGTTTTGTACTCTGATGAAGTTTTGATTTCCTCGTGTCTACCATATCGGAGTAATTGAAATTTCTCATCGTTGAACTCATAGTTTAGCCAAATGTACGCTAAGTTCCTCTTTACATTCCTTTAACACCCTTGCAAACAGTTCATCAGGGCCTGGGGATTTGTTAGGTTTTAGTTTCTCTATTTGTCTGAGAACCTTGTCACTAATTACCGCAATCGTAAATAGTTTATTATCCTGTTTTAGATAATTTCTTATTTCAGGAATATCGCTAGTATTTTCCTGGGTGAAAACTGAGAGGAAGTAGGTATTGAGAATTTCACACATATCCTTATCACTGTCAGTGATATGACCAGAGTTACTCTTAAGTGGACCAATCTTGTCCCTAATCTTACTTCTGTACACCTGAAAGAACCCTTTTGGGTTAGTCTTTGAATCCCTTGCGACCTTAGCCTCATAATACCTTTTTGCTTTTCTTATTCCTTTCTTTATTTCTCTTTTTAATTGAATATATTGATTTCTTAACTGCCCATCCCCTCTTTTGATACGCCTATATGTGCCTCTCTTTTGACCAATGAGATGTTTTAATCTATTGTTCATCCATTTGGGTTCATGTTTGTTAGATCTAATTTCCCTACTCGGAACAAAAGTTGTCTGGGCAGCTAGAACTATGCTCTGAAAAACGTCATCTTGGCAACCAACATCACCTACCTGACCCATAGTCAGGCCATCCCAATTTAGCCCACCCAGGTAATTTTTCAGTCCCATGAAGTCGGCCAAGCGAAAATCTGGGACAGAGATTTGATTGCAGTTATCTGGGTAATTCCATTATTAACTTGACTTACATTTACATTTACTTGACTTACTTACCTACCTTACATTTATTTAACTTACACTTACTTACCTTACATTTACTTTACTTGACTTACATACCTTACATGTACTTAACTTGACTTACACTTACTTAGTAACATTTACTTGACTTACACACCTTACATTTACTTAACTTACACTTCCTTGCCTTGAGTTATACTTACATACCTTACATTTACTTAAGATAAGATAAGATTTCGTTCGGATTTTTAACCCCGGAGGGTTAGCCACCCAGGATAACCCAAGAAAGTCAGTGCGTCATCGAGGACTCTGACTTATTTCCATTGGGGTCCTTAATCTTGTCCCCCAGGATGCGACCCACACCAGTCGACTAACACCCAGGTACCTATTTGCTGCTAGGTGAACAGGACAACAGGTGTAAGGAAACGTGTCGAAATGTTTTCACCCGCCGGGAATCGAACCCTAGCCCTCCGTGTGTGAAGCGGGAGCTTTAGCCACCAGGCCACCGGACCACCTACACTTACTTACCTTACATTTACTTACCTTGACTTACACTTACTTATCTTACATTTACTTGACTTACCTTACATTTACTTGCCCTGACTTACACTTATTTACCTTACATTTACTTACCTTACTTACACTTACTTACCTTACATTTACTTAACTTACACTTACCTTAACTTCCCCGGTCGGGGATTGAACCCGGATCCTCAGTGTGCGAGGCGAGGGCACTGCTACCAGGCCACGGGTCCCCGGGACCCCCCCCCACAATAATTATATAAGTATTCCAGATATTTATATAACCAAATACTTATTAACTTATTGTTTTATATTATGAACAGTACGTCTGTAATATCGTTATTAATGGTATATTATCGTACGTACGTAACTCCTGCTGCACTCATTGGTAAGTTAAATAATTATATGATTGATTTTCTAGACATTCTATATAATTTTAAGGTTTTACGATAGTTTTTAATGTAGTAATTATGTAGAATTCAAGTTAGAATAATCTAATAATGTCAAACAATGTGACTTATTTACTCAATATTTTTATTATATCAATCTTTACTCAACATTCATACGTTATTATAAACATTACAATATAATGCTCACGTCCAAGCATGAATTTTAAATTTATAATAATAAAAAATTCTCCATAAATTTTGACAGATTTTAAAAGTAATGTTTGTAAACAAAAGTGAAGAGCATTCCAAATATATATGCTGTTATTATCATAATACTCTATATTCATTGTAATAATTATATCAGTATTTTATATGCTCCAGTATGTATTGATATGCTCAGTGGAATGAAATAACAGAATTAAAATAATCTTAATAGAGGTAATATAATGTCGCCAGTGAATGAACGTCTAGGTAAATCATCTTTAAATGTTTTTATTTAGTTTCAGAAAGTAAATAACTATGTAGGAATATAATATAGCAATGTAATATGACAATCTCAAAGAAGCTACACTTATATACTGTATATACCTAAAAAAAAGTTTATTCTTGTCAGGGTCTCTAAATTGTCTGATGTTCCCAATAAAATGCCTTCAAAAATTTATCAAATAATCGCTTTTCTGATATACATTTGAATGAAAGAAATTATAAAGCGAAATTCTAATTTTGGAGGGCAATTATAAAATACTTGCTTTTAATTTATTAAAGGTGTATACACAAATTGGCGATGAAGATGTAAACAAAAATCTATATTGCAGCAGACCATGTAAACAGTGCTGCCTGGTGCCACCATGGACAAATATACTCTGCATTCTTCCTAGTAACTGCCAAGGTTAGTTGTGGGACACACACACACAATAATTTAAGGGCCAATGACCAGCGGAGAGTGTGTAAATTTAGTCTATATTGATGGGAAGGGAGACAAACAATGCGTGGTGAATTGGGCTTATAGATTACATTTTATAGTTGTTTTAATTGCTTTTAAGATCATTACTGGTGTCTTGGTAATAATACGTTTTTGAAACGATGAACTAAACAACTTTCATGAATTAGCCATGTGCATCACTTTGGTATCTTTTATTTTGAAGAGGTACACATAAGTGCAGTTATTATAAATAGTTTAGCATATGTGTAAATTAGGATAACACAAAAAAGTGAGACGAGTGACTTATTTCCATTGGGGTCCTTGCAGTATCTGAAGTACACATAAATACAGTTACATAAATCATCATATATAGCAGTATATGTGTAGATTATTTAGGATAACCAGAAAAGTCATACAATTTAAAGCCTAGCTGAAAGTTACAGTAGGAATCAGCCATCATTAAAACCTTAATAGTTATAACAGCTAAGTAACTCAACTGTGTGAAGATCAGTTACAGTAAAAGAAGCTACAATAAGAGTAAAGTAAACTGAGTTATTTACATGTACATTAAAAGAAGATCAGCTTACAATAATAGGTAGACAAATTTTAGTTTCAGTTATTAAGTACCTTTTATTTCTCTTCCTAAACTGGCTCATGCTAGGACAGTCTTTGACATGTAGTGGCTTTTTCAATTTAGTATTGAATTGAGTTGAATGTGAAAGGGTCACTGATTGGCAAAACTTCTTCAGAATTGATACACAGGTGTTGCATGTGTCTAATTCATCACTTTGTTGGTAATGATAATAATAATAATAGTTTATTAGGACATGATACATAGTTGTACAAGGTATTATAGTACTTGGGTGTACATGTCAAAATTCCCTTGTATGTAGAGCATTATGGGCAAGCTTAAAATTAACTTAATATAATGAAATTAATTTTAGCTAAGCCATGAGTGGAATTTCTGTGAATGAAAGACAGGTGCAGGACAAAGACTAGTGACGAGTTTATGGTCCAAATTGGCCTGAAACATTGTGATAAGTTTCAGTCCCTTATGTGCGGGTTATTTATGTATATGTGGTGTGGAGCAAGCTTGTTGACGTGTTGAAGTTAACACAGCAGAATTTTGTCAAAATATAAACTTGTTCTGCCACTGAATATTTTCTTCATTACTGGTGACAAAATCTTTTTACATCCATTGGAGTTTACAGATAAAAAATAAACCTGAAACCTTAAGGCACCAAATACTATTAAGGGAGCACAACACCTCAAAGGAGGTTCCTTGATGCTGGTAAGGGGCTCTAGATCCAAGGATTGTGACATGTTTTTCTCCCTTCCTTGGATTGAATTTGACTGCCTCCCATTCCCTAGGAACTGCATGATCCCCTAAATATAATACTAAGGGATTACAAGGCTGTGCTATTGATTTGCCAATATAATGCCCAGACTTCCATCTGATACCAAATACAAGATATATATTTCAAGTATTTTAAGAGCAGAATCTGCAGAACCTGGTGCAGCTTTTGAGTTTGGTTAGTTTATTCATACTGAATGTGTACAAAGGTTTTTCAGTACAGGACATACAAAATTTAAGTAATCTATTGTGCATATATTAATTAATTGCTTTTAGAGCTGTACAAAAACTATAAACTTCTATAATTTTTTCATGCCTTTTTATGATTATTTTATTTCTAAAATTCCTCAAAGGGATTTAAATCTATTGTACTGGGCTCTGCTTGAGAGAGTTGAAAATTCCTTGTGAAAAGTCTTATTATTAGTGGTAATTTTTGTGCGCAGCATATGGTACGATATTACTGAAGATGAAGATGACGCATTCAAGGTGGGCAATGCTGGCTCCTGGGCTGGGGACAATTATTGTGATGCTGACTGGGCATGCTTGTGCTGCCACCATGATCACCCGGACTAACATACCCAGAGGTATGCTAACGTACAATGTCTGTCCTGTATCCTTTTTTGGGGGGAGGGGGGATTTATTTTCAGGGAGCACAACATGTGGATGTTTTAGGGGAATTTTATATTTTTCATGCAGCATATCATATGCAAAATTGAGATTATTTTCATTTTTTTAATCGAAAATAATGAAAAAAAATTATTGTCATTGCATTTGTCAGTAATGATAATTATAATAATAATATGATAATAATAATATGATAATAATAATATGATAATAATATGATAATAATAATAATAATAATAATAATAATAATAATAATAATAATAATAATAATAAGGTAATACAGGTCCTCCATCACAAATTTGGCATCATTGGGACCTGTAGTGTGCTGGATTACTGAGTTTGCCGGATTACAGAGTTAGGTTAGAATACACTTAATAAAATTAACCAACTTGACTTACACAAGAAAGTTCATTGAACATCAGCAAAAATCGAACATTTCCACTACTTTGAGCTCAATTTCAAGGTACTTTTTGTTGTGAAACCAATCAAAATCATATCTATTTCTGTGCTATATTCTCCATTCTATGAAATGAGACCAAAAAAATGAGAATACAACCATAAAAACCATACAAAAATATACATGAAGAGACGGCTAATGGCTGAGAAACGAACTCCCTTATTTATTGTTTTTTTTTTTCATTTTTGCTGTACATTGAGAAGCATCTCTCCATCATACATTGCCCAAGTTTTGATAAGATAGCCCAACAAACAACTGAGAAATTTTTTTTTTACCAAAAATCATATATGGCAAGCCCAAGCCAGGTGCTGGAAATAAGTCACTTTGACTTTTTTGGGTTATCCTATGTTCTCTATACATATGCTGCTATGTATGATAATCTATGTAACTGTATTTGTGTATACCTGAATAAACTTACTTATTTACTTCTATTATGTCGACCGAGTACAGTGGACCCCCGCATACCGTACGCATCACATAACGTTCAATCCGCATACCGCTCGCTTTTATCGCAAAAATTTTGCCTCGCATACCGCTCCAAAACCCGCTCACCGCTCTTCGTCCGAGACGCGTCCAATGTGCGCCCTTAGCCAGCCTCACATGTGCCGCCGGTGGCATTGTTTACCAGCCAGCCTCCGCGGTAACATCCAAGCATACAATCGGAACGTTTCGTATCATTACAGTGTTTTTGGTGATTTTATCTGCAAAATAAGTGACCATGGGCCCCAAGAAAGCTTCTAGTGCCAACCCTACAGCAATAAGGGTGAGAATTACTATAGAGATGAAGAAAAAGATCATTGATAAGTATGAAAGTGGAGTGCGTGTCTCCGAGCTGGCCAGGTTGTATAATAAACCCCAATCAACCATCGCTACTATTGGTGGTACAGCTGCTGCTGCTGCTGTAGCATCGTCTGCTGCTGCTGTAGCATCGTCTGCTGCTGCTGTAGCACTGTCAGCTGCTGCTGCTGCTGCTGTAGCATCGTCTGCTGCTGCTGTAGCATCGTCTGCTGCTGCTGTAGCACTGTCAGCTGCTGCTGCTGCTGCTGTAGCACCGTTGTTGGTGTGGCTTATTGAGAATACCAAGAAACAATTAACCCCAGAGGATTTGCCACCCAGGATAACCCAAAAAAGTCAGTGTCATCGAAGACTGTCTAACTTATTTCCATTGGGGTCCTTAATCTTGTCTCCCAGGATGCAACCCACACCAGTCGACTAACACCCAGGTGAACAGGGAAAAATGCCTGGAACTAGTGCTCATATTGGTGAATTTAAAGCCAGCAAAGGTTGGTTTGAGAGATTTAAGAATCGTAGTGGCATACACAGTGTGATAAGGCCTGTTCTGGAAGAAAATGCCAAACAGGACCTACAGTACTCAGGAGGAAAAGGCACTCCCAGGACACAGTGTCTCATCAGTCATTGCTGCATCTTCAATAAAGGTAAGTGTCATTTATTCTTCATTTAGTAGAGTAGTACATACACAATATATATTGTGCATGTACTACTCTACTATTGTGCATGTATCCTTCTCTTTGTGTGTAGGAAAATGTATATTTCATGTGGTAAATTTTTTTTTTTCATACTTTTGGGTGTCTTGCACGGATTAATTTGATTTCCATTATTTCTTATGGGGAAAATTCATTCGCATACCGATCATTTCGCATAACAATGAGCCCTCTTGCACGGATTAGAGTCGCTATGCGGGGGTCCACTGTACAAGAAACTGCCCATTCACCTATTTCAACTACCCAATAAAATGGTCAGAAATTGGCGATTTGGCCAATTTCACACAAATTTCAACAGATGCCAATTTCAAAATAGGGTCAAACAATGCAGACATTCCTGGCACTAAAATGACATTTTCTCTGTCCGTTAGTCACGTCTCCAGGCCCCTCTTATATTACTCTTGCTTACCATTTGGAATTTTTGTTCACACAAAAAATAGAAGATTTACTGTTATGCAGACTACTGCATTATTGTAATAATTGTATAAATAATATCAACCCATTCTTGACTGTGTATTGGAATTTGGACTGGCAGGCACACACGTATTAAACAGTGACGTCATTTGTTTACTTTTGAACATCTCAAAAGAATGGAACATTTCTGCTACTTTGAGCTCAATTTCAAGGTACTTTTCATCATGAAAGCACTCAAAATCATATCTATTTCTGTAATATTATCTTCCATTCTGTCGAAGGAGACCAAAAAAATGAGAATACAACCATAAAAACCATTCGAAAGTACAGTACAGTAGGGCCCCACTTATACGGCGGGTTAGGTTCCAGGCTCTCGCCGGAAAGCAGACATCGCCGGAAGGCAGAACTCCATTTTTTTCCATTTATAAATGCATATAAATGCCAGTCAACAAGTTTACACTAAATTATATTAAGTTAGTAATAGAACTAGGCATTAAAAACACACAAAGTAAAATACAGTCACAGTAAATTCATTACTTATCTTAAAGTATTTGTAATCTTAATGTAGGGAGAGAGGTGAGTAGTACTTATTTGTAGGAAGTCAGGTGCAGGTAGCCCAGGTGTAGGTAACACTGGCTCCCCGTCTCATACTTAATATACGATATTTAAAACATCCCAGAGAGATAAAATGCACATACAGTACACTCATTATTTACCTTAAAATATGTGTAGTCTTAATATAGGAAGAGAGGAGAGTAGTATTTATTTGTATAAAGTCAGTGTAGGTAGCCGGTAGGTGTAGCCTGGGCTACACCTACCGGCTACCTACACTGTGGCCCAGAGCCATATTATTAACATCAACATGCCTTGTTCACTGAATTTAATCATTTCTAACAACTACCTTTAGATACCATCATAAACGAAGGTAGAAGTAATGAATAATTCATGCCGAAAATTGTAAACAAAAGCGGAGTAAGGGAGTGGCTGGGCCAAACGCAGATTCATACACTTTTTCTCTGATGGCTGAGCAGAGAAAACGTAATGTTGTCCCTCCACACAGCTCCACAAGTATTATTATCAGAGCATATAAAATATGCAATAAATGCCAGACAACAAGTTTACACTAACTTATATTAAGTTAGCAATAGAAATAGGCATTAAAAACACAATAAAAGGTAAGATACACACAGATTACACTTACTACTTACCTTAAAATATTAATATTAATGTGTGAGAGGTGAGTGGCAGGGTGTTTATTGAATAAAATCAGAATGGCACACCATCATCCTCTAACTTGGCACTTAAAGCAAGAGGCTTACGACTTCTCTTTTTATTACAGCTAACCTTAGACGCCATTGTCAATGAGAGCCAACTATTTAACGAAAGAGTAAACGAGAGAGAGAACGAGATACAGAGTTGAGACAATGTAAGAACACAAACTGAACAGGTAGTGGACGATCACTTGGTCAGGCGAAATAAATGCGTATTAATATGTGTCTGCTTTTAGTTCATTCACGTCCATTTGTAAGAGTTTGTAAAACATTTACCTCAATATTTTTTTTATTTTAATAATAATTACCTCACAATACAAATACTCTTACATTGTGTACAAGTTGTACAAGTTAGTTCACAATAAACAAACAGCAACACACCATTTTTAGAGTGAATGAAGATAATAATAATAATAATAATAATGATAATATTATTAGTATTAATATTAATAATATTATTATTATTAATATTAATAATAATAATAATAATTATTATTATTATTTATTATAAAAAGCACTAAACCCACAAGGGTCGTGAATTGCTATACATAGAGTAAAGGCATACGAAAAGAATATTTTTCTACAGTTACCCCCCAGTGTTTGACTAGAGAAAACGTAATTCTTCCGACACTACCTACACAGCTATGTAATGGGTTTCATATATAATTTTGAGGAAAATATCATAGATGGATTAATGAAAATGCCTATATTGATGTAAAATAAGACATTTAGTGTGCCCAAGAGTGATTATTATTACGTAGTATTGGCGTCATGAGTAGAGAGAGACTTAGGGATTTTAATGTGTACCTACACACCAGCACAGTGTGTAAGTATATTTAGGTACAGGTACACATAAGTATAATTATCAGAGTACATATAAAATATGCAGTAACTTTAAAACACTTGAAATTTTGGAAAGTTTCCTGGCATAATAGATGTGGTCACTGAAAATGTAAACAAACCGGGTGGGGGGCGCCGTATTTAAAAGACCGCTTGCCGTATAGCAAATTTTGGTCATAATTTGACATCGCCATATTAGCGGAACGCCGTAAGGTGAAACGCCACAAAGCGGGGCCTTACTGTACAGTATACTGTTATGGGGCTGCTAATGGCTGAGAAGTGAACTCTGTTATTTATGGTCTGATTTCTTTCATTTTTTGGTGTACGTTAAGAAGCATCTTTCCATCATACATTGCCCTAGTTTCATTAAGATAGCCCAACAAACAACTGAGAGAGAAAAAATAATAATAATAATAATAATATCTTTATTTACTACACGTACCCGTACATGGTATACAGGCTTAGCTGACATCAGTGACTTACTCCTATATAGAAAGCCCCTTGTTATGCTAAACATTTTAGGCAAATTAGGTCAGTGTCTCAGGAAAAGACCCACACCAGTCCACTAACACCCAGGTACCCATTTACTGATGGGTGAACATAGACAACAAGTGTAAAAAAACATGCCCAATGTTTCTACCCTAGCTGGGAATTGAATATTTACCAAAAATCATATATGGCTAGCCCAAGCCAGGTACTGGAAATAAGCCACTTTGTCTGACTTTTTGGATTATCCTAGGTTCTCTACACATATGCTGCTATGTGTGATAATCTATGTAGAGGAAATAGCTTTTGTGTTTCAGTTTTATGGTGCAGTACGAGTGTACATCACAGTTAGCCCTGTGCTTTACTCTGTTTTTTTCTAATATAATCCCCCAAGACAGGGATAGGGGAATGTCACTTGTATCCCATATCATCTTCATACCTCCATCGAACTGCTCAGTATTATGCCAAATATTATTCAGAAGCAATGTATTACTTAATAAATATTGATCAGAATGATGTATGTTATGACATTCTTGGGAAATATGTGCTCTGGTAAATGGGCATTGTGATTTTTTCCTTATGCCTGCAAATGAAAAAGAAAACCATCTAGTTTCATATAGTCTACACTTAATATTTGCATATGTAGGAAATGTCTCCGATTGTATTCAGCAAAATACAATACTGTGCAGCATGCTTTACTTTTCCTGATAAGTAGATTAATCATAGAGAAAAATATTAAGGTCCCAGCCAAGTGCATGGCTTAGTTTCCAGTTTTCCTTCACAGTATATGAAAAATATATACTGTACTGTAAAGGATAACTCCTGACTTGTATTAATGTAAAATACAATTCTGTATCTGTTTGCATTTTTTATTTATTTATTTATTTTTTTTTTTGTTGTCTATGTAACCTTCTGTCAGGTCTGTATTTACACATATGCTCAAGCAGTTGGTTTTTAAGGCTTGGAATCTGAGAGCAGTATTAACCTTTTCAGGGTTTCGGCTGTACTGGTACGGCTTACGTGCCAGGGTCCTTGACGTACTAGTACGCATAAATTCTAACGCCCTCAAATCTAGTGAGAGAAAGCTGGTAGGCCTACATATGAAAGAATGGGTCTATGTGGTCCGTGTGCGCAGTATAAAAAAAATCCTGCACCACATAGTGCGTAATGAGAAAAAAAAAACTTTGACCGTGTTTTTTTGGATTAAAACAGCAACTTTGCACTGTACTTTCGTATGGTATTTATTGTTGTATTCTAGTTTTCCTGGTCTCATTTTATAGAATGAAAGACATATTACAGAAATTGAGATGATTTTGACTGGTTTTACAATTAAAGTACCTTGAAATTGAGCTCAAAGTAGCAGAAATGTTCGATTTTTACCAAAGTTCAAAAGTAAACAAATCATGCTAAGCGTCCAATACACATCAACTGGTGAGTCTAATATTCTTTCACAAGTGCTCTGATATTATTTATACCATTTCTACACTAATTCAGTAGTCTGCATAACAGTAAATCTTCTGTTTTTTTTGTGAGAATAAAAATTCAAAGTGGAAAGCATAAGAATGTAAGAGGGGCATGGGGATGTGACTAATGAACAGAGGAAATGTTATTTTAGTGCCAGGAATGTCTTTCTTGTTTTTTCTGGACCCTATTTGGAAATTGGCATCTTTTGAAATTTGTGTGAAATTGGCAAAATTGCTAAATTTTGACCACTGTATTGGATAGTTGAAATCGGTAAATGGGTGGTTTCTTGTACTCATTCGATAGGAAAAATGGAGTTCTAGCAAAATAGTTAGGATTTTTGTCGACTAGTACACTGGAATTGGCCGAAAATAGGGCTCAAAGTGGGCAAAATCGCCGATGCATAAACATCGTTGAGACCGCTAACTTCGCGAGAGCATAAGTCCGTAAGTTTTCCATCAAATTTCATACTTTTGGTGTCATTATGATTGGAAAAAGATTCTCTATCTTTTCATAAGAAAAATAATTTTTTTTTTTTTGAAATTTGGGGGACCCTGAGAACAAGTCTGGGAGAGGGCCTGTGGACCCTGAAAGGATTAAGGCTGCTGACCGGCCCTAGCGTCAACTTTTATTAATTTTTTTCAGTACAATATCCTGCATCATCAGGGTATAGTGTTTCTCTTCAAAACAGGAGGACAGTGATATATAATAAATCTTCGCATTCATTTTGTTTTATGGTTCTTGTAGTTTTCTATTATTTTTTTCTTTTAGACACGTGTGACCATTCTGCTCTCTTAAATTGGGAAGTGATCCCCTCCAGAGACACTTATAAAATTGGAGAAATTGTGAAGGTTCGATGTTCTGATGGGTATGTCTCCCTGGATGAGTCACATATGCATTGCACTTCAGATGGTACGTGGAAAACTGCTTCTGGCCTCTCTGCTATTCCAGAATGTAAAGGTGAGTTATTATTTGTTGTTTAACTTTAATTTTATGTGTGTTTTAAGCAGTCTCACTCTGGAAATAGCTAATGTTTTGACTAAGAAATGTAAAGAGAAAATAGAGACTAGAATTAAATAAGTTTTGTCACAGTAAATTTATTCACATTGAAATGCATATAGTAAATATGGTATATTATATGTGGCTACAATTTACAGCATTTCTTGTAAGGCCCACAGTACATGCAGTATTGTATTTGCTTAATAAATTCTTGTTAGGTAAAATGACACGTGCAACTAATGCAACATTTTATTGTGGCAATATTGCACATGTGCCCTTTTACCTAACATTGATATTTCTACCAACATTATTACTAATAAATTCATGTACAGTATAGGAGATAAATTTATTACTCTTTAATTATGGTTCTTTTCTTTATAAGATGTAAAATATTTTCTCATCTTTATGCATCATGCTTTTCATATGATATTTTTTGCAATTTTTTTTTAATTTAGGCCAAATTCCTCTTGCTTCTAAGGTATTCATTTATTTAAAAAGATGGTACAGTATAATTAATACTCTCATTATTCTTTATCTCTACAAATACAACTACAAATTTGATTTCAGTTATGCAGTACAGAAATAATATATAGTTTACATGTAATAAAACATTGGTAGGCACAAAAGAAAGCCATTAGTATGCAATACTAATGTGTATAGTATGCAATACATTTGGGCAAACTCATCCTAATACTTAAAGACTACTTAAGAATTAGACTTGGACTGTTGAATAGGATATTAGGATTTCTTTTGCAGTTAACTACAATCACATATACAGTAAGGAAGGTAGCTAATGAACTAATGGTACAATTTTAAAAGTATGACTTATTATTTCAAACTGATTCAGTAATCTTCAGTTTTGTGGAACGATTGAATAGAAATGATGAGGATACAGAAAAAAAAAAATCTTACTTTTTTTTTTCAACCACCCAGCCATATCCCACCAAGGCAGGGTGACCTAAAAAGAAAAAAAGCTTCTCTTTTTTAATTTAGTAATGTATACAGGAGAAGGGGTTACTAGCCCCTTGCTCCCGGCATGTTTGTCACTTCTTACGACACACATGGCTTATGGAGAAAGAATTCTGATCCACTTCCCCATGGAGATAAGAGGAAATAAACAAGAACAAGAACTAGTAAGAAAATAGAAGAAAATCCAGAGAGGTATGTCTATATATGCTTGTACATACATGTGTAGTGTGACCTAAATGTAAATAAAAGTAGCAAGACCTACCTAAAATCTTGAATGCTTATGAGACAAAAAAAAAGACACTAGCAATCCTACTTTCATGTAAAACAATTACAGATTTATGTTTTACACCCACTTGGCAGGACGGTAGTACCTTATTGGGTGGTTGCTGTCTAGCAACCTACTACCTAGAAAAAATCTTACATCTTATATTTTAATTTTGACAAGAATTTTGATTTAAATCTTAAAATTAGTGAACATTTTTGTAGATCCTGCAGCCACCAGAACTATATAACAGCTAACCACTTGCAAAATACTGTTGTGTTATAACATTTTCAAGAAGTTTGTGAGATCAAAGGAAGGCATGGAACACAATCTAGTAATTTTAAACACACATTTAGCAGGGAAATCTTTATCAAATGTTATTCTCACCCAGAGTATTGCTTTATTAGCACTCAGAAATAAGCAAAAACACCTTATGCAGCATTCAAGCATCCTGAGATCAGGTCATGTGATGTGGGAGGTCAATGGAGATGGTCAGATGATAACAAGAGAGCAGGGCCTGGAGCTGAGTGTCAGGTCAAGGGGTTTTGTGTCTTGATCCTCAACAGTGTGTACAATGGATTTTGCTAATACAGTGGACCCCTGAGTTTCGCCAGCATTGACTTTCGTGAAATTCGACTTTCGGCAAGTTTTTTCGGCAAAATTTGGCCTCGAGTTTTGTGATTAGACTCGTGATTCGGCGACTGTCTGGTACCCGTCCGCCCGTCACCACGCACACAAAGCCAGTCTCCCACGCCATTCACGCTCGGTGTGCCATTGTTTACCAACACGTGACCATCACCCCGCGGGTTCATACGTAATAATCCATTGTTTTTGTGATTGCAACTGCTAAATAAGTCACCATGGGCCCAAGGAAAGCTAGTGCAAGCCCTTTGGTAAAGAAAGTGATGAACACGATCCAGAGGGATTTTGAAGGGTTTGAGGCAGACCCTGACCCTGCCAACCCTCTGCCTGTTGTGGAAGGTGTTGTGGCATTGGGCAAGTCCATGGGGTTGGAGGTGAGTGACGGGGATGTGGAAGAGTTGGTGGAGGACCACAGGGAAGAGCTAACCACTGACGAATTGCAAGAGCTTCAACTGGAACAGCATCAGACCACAGGTGAGGAACTTGCTTCAGAGGAGGAGGAAACGAGAGTGAAGGAGGTGCCTTCTTCGGTGATTAAGGACATGTGTTCAAAGTGGAATGAGTTGCAAAGTTTTGTTGAAAAGTATCACCCTGACCAAGCTGAAACAAGCCATATCTGCAACATGGTCAGTGACAAAGCCTTGTCCCACTTCAGGGAAATCATAAAGAAATGCCAGAAACAGACCTCTCTGGACAGATATTTTGTGCGACAGGGGTCCAGTGACTCTCAAGTTGTTCCCAGAGGCATTAAAAAAAGAAAGGAAGTAACCCCAGAAAAGGACTTGCTACCTGAAGCCCTAATGGAAGGAGATTCTCCTTCCAAACAATAGTGTACACCTTCCTCCTATCCCCTCCTGCCGTCTTCCATCCACCCAGAAGTCTTCAGTAAAGGTAAGTGTAATGTTATTATTATTTTTTATATGCATGTACTTGATTTCTGATTGTTTTCAGTATGTAAATCTTTATTTAATTTGTAAAAAAATATTTTATTTTAATATTTTTGGGTGTCTGGAACAGATTAATTTTATTTCTATCATTTCTTATGGGGAAAATGGTTTTGAGTTTCGTGAATTTCGACTTTCGGCAGGCTCTCTGGAACAGATTAATCACGAAACTCGGGGGTCCACTGTATATACTTTCCTCTATTTTGTTCCGTAGTTTTGGTGGGATAGATAGTAACTGCCAAAGGCTTCCCCATTTTGCTTTCTTGTTTTCATAATACCTATATCAGTTGTATTCTATCCCATAAGGTGGAAATGCAGGTTGCTATGGACTGCACAGATGTTGTCCATACTGTATGCATATTGTGCTCCTGGAGGTGTGTCTGAAGTCTAGCGCTGTCTTGCAGCTATAGAATTGGTTATGTCCCTCACATAAAATGCTGTTTACAGTGGAGCCCCAGTTTTCGTGATTAATCCGTTCGAAAAAGTCTGACGAAAGCCTGAATCGTATGAAAACTTAAGCATAAGAAATAATGTAAATCTAATTAATCCATTCCAGACACCCAAAAATATTAACAAAAAATACATATTATAAAGAATAACTATGGTTTTACATACAAACTAGGGCATATGAAAACCGAGGTTTGACTGTACAGTGGTCCCTCGCTTTTCGTAGTTCTCGGCAATCATATATTTCGGAAATCATAGGGGTATTTTCGAATAAACATGGGCTCGCTTTTCATAGGTTGACTCGCGAGTCATAGTTCGTCCAGGACGTGTACCCACGACGTGAGCCAGGGCGGCAGCCAGTCTGGCATTGTTTACCAGTGAGCGAAGGTCCCCTCACGTGCTCCAGCGAAATATTTCATAATATTCCATTTATTTTAGTGCTTTCAAGTACTAAATAAGCTACCATGGCTCCAAAGAAAGCTCCTAGTGCCAAGCCTGTGGTAAAGAAGGTGAGAAATATGGTTGAATTTAAGAAAAGCATCATTGATCAATATGAAAGTGGTACAAGTGTGGCCTAACTGGCCAGGATGTATAAGAAAACCTACACAACCATATGTTCCATAGTGGCCAAGAAAAAGGAAATCAAGGACGCTGTTGTTGCAAAGGGGGTAACTATGCTGACGAAAACGAGATCACCAGTACTCAAAGAGGTTGAGAAGTTATTATTGGTGTGGATAAATGAGAAACAATTAACAGGAGATACTCTTATGACTTCGATTATTTGTGAAAAGGCTAGGCAGTTACACAATGATCTGGTAAAGAAATTGCCTGAAAATAGTGGTGATGTGAGTGAATTTAAGGCCAGCAAAGGTTGGATTGATAGATTTAAGAACCATACTGGCATACACAGTGTGGTAAGGCATGGTGAGGCTGTCAGTTCGGACCACAAGGCGGCTGAAAAATATGTGCATGAATTCCAGGAGTACATAGAGGCTGAAGGACTGAAACCTGAACAAGTGTTCAGTTGTGACAAAACAGGCCTCTTTTGGAAGAAAATGCCAAATAGGACCTTCCTTACACAGGAGGAAAAGGCAATGCCAGGACACAAGCCTATGAAAGACAGGCTGACGCTAATGTTCTGTGCTAATGCTAGTGGGGATTTCAAAGTGAAGCCATTACTAGTGTACCATTCTGAAAATCCCAGAGTGTTCAGGAAAAACAATGTTATGAAAAGTAAATTGTGTGTGTTTTGGAAATCTAATAGTAAGGCATGGGTCACGAGGGAAATTTTCATCAAGTGGTTCAGTGAAGTGTTTGGCCCTAGTGTGAAAAATTACCTCCTGGAAAAGAAATTGGATCTCAATTGCCTGCTAGTAATGGACAATGCACCTGCTCATCCTCCAAACTTGGATGACCTAATTTTCGAGGAGTTTGGGTTCATCACAGTAAATTTCTTGCCCCCGAATACCACTCCTCTCCTCCAGCCCATGGACCAGCAGGTCATTGCAAACTTTAAAAAAAACTATACCAAAGCAGTGTTTCACAGGTGCTTGACTGTGACTACAGACACTCACTTGACCCTAAGGGAATTTTGGAGAGAACACCTCAGCATCCTCCATTGCATAACCCTTATAAGTATGGCTTGGGAGGGAGTGACTACCAGGACTTTGAAGTCTGCCTGGAGAAAATTGTGGCCAGATTGTGTTGACAAGAGGGATTTTGAAGGGTTTGGGACTGACCCTGATGAGCCTATGTCTGTTGTAAAATCATTTGTGGCACTGGGGAGTTCCATGGGGTTGGATGTGAGTTTGGAGGATGTGGAAGAATTGGTGGAAGACCACAACGAAGAGCTCACCACTGAGGAGCTGCAAGAGCTTCAGCAGGAACAGCAACAGATCGCAGCTCAGAATCTTGCTGCAGAGAAGGAGGAAGAGAGATGGAAGATGGTGCCTTCTTCAGAAATTAAAGAGATTTTTGCTATGTGGGGTAAGATGGAAAGATTTATGGAGAAATATCACCCTGACAAGGTTGTTGCAAGCCATGTTGGCAACATGTACAGTGACAGAGTCTTGGCCCATTTTAGGGAAGTTTTAAAGAGACACCAGAAACAGAGCTCTCTGGACAGTTATTTTGCGAGACAGGACTCAGTGACTCTCAAGGTGGTCCTAGTGGCATTAAGAAACAGAGAAGAGAAGCAACCCCAGAAAAGCAATTGGTACCTGAGGTGTTGCTGGAAGGGGATTCCCCTTCCAAACTATAAACAATCCACACTCACTCCTCCTCCAGTCTCCCATACACTAAGAAGAATCTCCAATAAAGGTAAGTGTTATGCTGTTAATGTTTCGTTCATCATTTCCCATTGTGTTGTTTATGTACTACATGTATATTTCATGTAAAAAATTTTTTTGTTTTAATACTTCTGGGTGCCAGGAACGGATTAATTGTATTTACATTATTTCTTATGGGGAAAATTGATTTGCAAATCGTAGATTTCGTTAATAGTAGCAGCTCCAGGAACGGATTAACTACGAAAAACGAGGGATCACTGTACTTCTACTGTGTCTGTAGTTTTGATGGGTTTGAAGTCTTGGAAATAATTTTAAACTTTAAAATTAATTTAAATTTCAAACTCTAAATGATAACAGAACTACAGGCAGAGAAGGTGTTTACAGTATTGCATGTGAGGGATGTAAGAAATTCTATATTAGTGAGACAGTCCTGCAGACTTATGTCACCTTCAGGAACACAAGTATGCATACAGAATGGATGGCACCAACAACACTTGTGTGGTCCATCATAATCCATATTCATACCTCTTAAACTTGGGGAATGTGTAACTAATATAGTACAAGAAGGTAAAAATTAAGATGCCTTGAAGCACCTGCTATCCAGGTCACTTATATCAAAAAACATAAGTGATACTAAATAACCTTTATTTTGAAACAGTTCTGATGTGCGAGCCTCCGGCCAACATTCCTCACGGCTCTGTGCAAGTCATGGAACATGGAAACCTTTTACTTGGCTCCCAGCATCAGAACTATAATGGAGTAGATCGCTTTCCAGAGGGCAGTGTAGCTGAGTATTCATGCAATAATGGCTATTGGCTCCATTCTTCATCCCGTGCAAGTCACACTTGCCGTCGAGGATCATGGATTGGTGACCTGCCAGAGTGTGGTATGTCCTCTTGACCTAATAATTTGCTTCTTTTTTTTTTTAACAAATTAAGTGTTTTTTTTTTTTTTTTTTTTTTAGTAGTTATGAGGTGTCGAGTGCAATATGAGCAAGCTCAAGAACAGTTTTTTCCCTCGACATAACCTTCCAGGCATTTAGAAGACTAATAGAGTACCATTAGTCTATTTCACTTGCAATACTTTCAAACTGCATGCTGGACAAGCTAACTGAGAATATATCACTGGGTGGTGGAACCGTCATTGATACTCCAGGTCATAACTAAATCAGTGGGCACAACAAATACCCTTCTATTCAGTTTTATTCTCTTTCTTGGCATTTTGATTATTATGACATGCTATTTTGAACATTTGAATAATTAATTCTGCTATTATGAGTTCTGAGAGTCATGCTGTTCCAGATGTGTTAAGGTGTTCTTGAGTATTAATCTGTGTTCAGTCTTCTGCAACAGGGATGCACAGCCCTTTCATCCATCCATTATTAACCGAAGAATTATATGCTATGCAGTGTATAGTTTATAAATTGAGTGAAACTGCTGAAAGGTATTTAGTGTCACAAATCAGTGGTAGGTTGAATTTTTGCATACTATATTGAGGGATGCAGTTATGCTACTCAAGGATTGCATGCAGCCCTTGGACTGCCAGGTATGCATCCCAGCTCTGCAACTATCTAAAGAATCTCTTAATACATCATGCTGCAGTAAATACCCCAACTAATATGCTATTTTTATTTAATATTTCATTACTCCAAGCTGGTTGTATATACAGAAATGTACACAACATTTGTAAATTTTATGTTGGTAATTTTTTTGGAAGTTACTCAAAGCACATGGTTTTTGAGTTTGTTCACTTGGCAAACTTTGATCCAGTTTTTCTCAAAACTTTAATTTGCCAAGTATGTCCTTACTGCACACAAAGCCTCATGTGTAAACCAGATGCATTATATACTGTTTACAGATTATATTAATTTCCAAATATAGATACAGTAGACCCCCGCCTTACGATATTAATCCGTTCCTGAGAGCTCACCGTGAGCCAAAATTATCGTAAGGCGAATTAATTTTCCCCATAAGAAATAATGGAAATCAAATTAATCCGTGCAAGACACCCAAAAGTCTGAAAAAAAAAAAATTTTTTACCACATGAAATATTAATTTTAATACACACAAACTAAGAAGATATGCACAATTAATACTCTACTAAGAATAGAATACATGACACTTACCTTTATTGAAGGTCTGGTGATGATTGATGGGATGGGAGGAGGGTAGAGTGTGGAAGTTGTTATTGTTTAGAAGGGGAATCCCCTTCCATTAGGACTTGAGGTATCAAGTCCTTTTCCGGGGCTACTTTCCTTCTTCTTTTAATGCCACTAGGACCAGCTTGACCAGCTGTCCATAGAGCTCTGTACCTCTTGTTCCTTTAAGATTTGCCTAAATGGGCCACAACATTGTCATTGTAATAGTCACCAGCATGGCTTGCAATAGCTGTGTTAGGGTGCTTTTCATCCATAAAAGTTTGCAGTTCAACCCACTTTGCACACATTTCCTTAATTTTTGAAGTAGGCACAATGGATTCCACAACTGGCATAGGCTTTTCAGGGTTAGCCCCAAACCCTTCAAAATCTTTCTTAATTTCCATACTAATTCTCACCCTTTTTACCACAGGGTTGGCACTAGAAGCTTTCTTGGGGCCCATGGTGACTTATTTTGCAGTTACAATCACAAAAAACACTGGGATAAGGTGAAATGTACCGAATGTATGCGTGGATGCAACCACACTGGCTGGCTTGTAAACACTGGCGCTGAGGCCACACGTGGGACGTGTCCTGGACGAATCGCTTGAGGCGAGGCAAAATTTTTGTGTTCGAATGTATCGTATGGCAGATTTAACGTAACGCGATGCCATCGTAAGGCGGGGGTCCACTGTATTTTAATAAGTTGATATGTGTTCCTCAGAAAAAAAAAAAGTCAGTAACCATTTCTTTTTATCTGGTTTGATTTTCTTATTTACTGTATAGTCTTTTCCACAAGTGCATCTGTGAATATTTAGTTATCTTGCTATTGTAATGACTGCTAACTAATTTTCCAGATCAGATTTGTAACAAACTTATCTTTTACTGTAGTTACCCCAGTAGGATAGTGGAGACCAGTTTCTTCTTCTTTCAACAAACTGGCTGTATCCCACCAAAACAGGATGGCCCAAAAAGAAAAGCAAAGAGTTTCTCTTTTTAACTTTAGTACTGTATACAGGAGAAGGGGGTCACTAGCCCCTTGCTCCCAGCATGTTTGTTGCCTCTTACAACACGCATGGCTTATGGAGGAAGAATTCTGTTCCACTTTCCCATGGAGATGGAGACCAATTTGTTGTTTACATTTTTTTTTTTTTTTCAACAAGTCTGCCGTCTCCCACCGAGGCAGGGTGACCCAAAAAGAAAGAAAATCCCCAAAAAGAAAATACTTTCATCATCATTCAACACTTTCACCTCACTCACACATAATCACTGTTTTTGCAGAGGTGCTCAGAACACAACAGTTTAGAAGCATATACGTATAAAGATACACAACATATCCCTCCAAACTGTTGGATAGGGTCTTCTATGATTAATAGATGGAGGATCAAGCCTCTGTTGCCCCATGTAGTGAATAACTCCACACAGGTTTATTGCTTCAGATAAGGTATGATGATAATCCTATCCTATTAACACTTAAAATTATTGTTTAATTGCAAGTGCTTTAGAGCTTCTTCTTTTGAGTTAGTTTATTTTTCATTAATATTTTCTTGCCTCTTTTAGTAAGCCAAGGCTGCATGACACCCGAGTCAGTGATGAATGGGTACTACATCGAGGTGACAGGCTCATCTGATCTGCAGTACCCACCTGGAGCCAGACAACAATTTGTATGTCACACTGGCTATGTTCTCCATGGGCCTGATCTCTATGTTTGTAACAAAGGTGGTGAATGGGTCCCACGAAGACAGCCACACTGCGAACCATCTAAACAACTCATTGGTAAGTAATGTATGTTTGAAAACATGTATTTGTACATTAATGATATGATATTTAATATTAACATTGTTGTACATAGTACGTATATTATTTATATACTGTATACAATATTCATGGTTTTACAAGGTTGAAATTGATAGCATACCAAGACAGAGGCTTAAAATTCTCAATGTGTTCTAATTTCTAATTTATTTGGTCAGTTTTTGTTACATTTTACACTATGAATTAGGACTTGATGTGCTGTTGGAGTGTAAGCAAGGTAACGTTTATGAAGGGATTCAGGGAAACCGGCAGGCCGGGCTTAATTCCTGGATATGGGAAGTAGTGTTAATATTGCAGTTTTATAACTGTAGTGTAAACATGCCTCTGGCAAGACAGTGATGGGATGAATGATGATAAAAGTTTTTTTGGGGGCCACCCTGCCTTGGTGGAAAATGGCCACGTGTTAATAATAAAAAAATAATACTTAGACTGTTGAATAATGGTGACTTACTTTTTTCCTTTTTTTGGTCATCCTACCATAGTGGGAGATAGCTGTTTCAAAAAAAAAGAATTAGAAAATAATGATACTTATACAGTAAATACCACCATGTAAGTTGAGTTTTAACCCTTTGACTGTTTTGGTCGTATATATACGTCTTATGAGCCACAGTTTTTGACATATATACTCATAAATTCTAGCGGCTTCAAATGAAGCAGGAGAAAGCTGGTTAGGCCCACATGTGAGAGAATGGGTCTGTGTGGTTAGTGTGCACCATATAAAAAAAATCCTGCGGCACGCAGTGCATAATGAGAAAAAAAAAATCCGACCTTTTTTTTAATTAAAATGCTGACTTTGTGATCTGTTTTTGTATAGTATTTATGGTTGTATTCTCGTTTTCTTGGTCTCAGTTGATAGAATGGAAAACATATAGAAATAGAGGTGATTTTGATTGGTTTTACTATGAAAAGAACCTTCAAATGGAGCTCTTAAGTAGGGGAATGTTCAAAAATAAACAAATGATGTCATTTTCCAATAAATGTCCAAGTAGCCATTCTAATATTCAGTCATGAATGGTTTGAGATTATTTATACAATTGCAGTGGACCCCCGCCTTACGATATTAATCCGTTCCTAAGAGCTCATTGTAAGCCGAAATTATCGTTAGCCAAATTAATTTTCCCCATAAGAAATAATGAAAATCAAAAAATCCGTTCCTGACACCCCAAAGTATGAAAAAAAAAAATTTTTACCACATGAAATATAAATTTTAATACACATAAACTGAAGAAGACATGCACAATTACTACTCTACTAAGAAGAGAATACAAGACACTTGCCTTTATTGAAGATCTCTTGATAATTGATGGGATGGGAGGAGGGGAGAGTGTGGAAGTTATTGTTTAGAAGGGGAATCCCCTTCCATTAGGACTTGAGGTAGCAAGTCCTTTTCTGGGGTTACTTCCCTTCTTTTAATGTCACTAGAACCAGCTTGAGAGTCACTGGACCTCTGTTGCACAACAAATCTGTCCATAGAGCTCTGTGCCTCCCGTTCCTTTAAGACTTTCCTAAAATGGGCCATAACATTGTCATTGTACAGGTTGCCAACACTGTCAGCATAGTTGCTGATTCCCTGTATATGTATATGTTATCTGAGTATCATAGTACCATCCATATGTTTTACATACACGACCCCTTGCTAGGCCCAGTGACTAGCTTGTGTGACGTCACGTGATGCTGATGTGAGTGCTACGCTCCCGGCCCTAGGTCTCAGTTCCCCGTAGTCCTAGCAGGCAACAGGACAGGCAGTTTGGGCTCTCCCTTATCACAGTCTGCAATATAAGCATTAACATCCAACAAGTGTGTTCAACTCCAACCATCACATCTCCACGAACCCCTTCTCACAAATGGTGCCAGCGGTGGGCCTGTAATTCTGACGATTACAGCAATTTCTGGAGATGAATTTCTACTGAGCCGGTTGCCATTTTCTGAATGCTAGGCCTGCCAAGACCAGTCACGCTTCACATCCCACCACTGCACTGGCTGGCTTGTAAACTCTGGCGCTGAGGCCACACGTGGGACGTGTAAGGCGAGTTTTTTATCATGAGGCGAGGCAAAATTTTTGCATTCAAATGCTTCGTATGGTGGATTTAACGTAACGCGATGCGTTCGTAAGGCGGGGGTCCACTGTATTACAATATTGCAGTAGTCTGCATAACAGTAAATCTTCTATTTTTTGATTGAATAAAAATTCAAAATAGAAAGCAAGAGTAATATCAGAGGGGCCTGGAGACATGACTGATGAACAAAGAAAATGTTATTTTAGAGCCAGGAATGTCTGTATTGTTCATTCTGCACCCTAATTTGAAATTGTCGTATTTTTTGTGAAATTGGTCAAATTGCAAATTTCTGACCATGTTATTGGGTAGTTGAAATCTGTAAATGGGCAGTTTCTTGTACTCAATCAATAGAAAAAATGGATTTCTAAAGAAATAGCTATGAGTTTGGTCGACTGGAAGAATGGAATTAGCCGAAAACAGGGCTCAAAGTGGCCGAAATCACCTATTCGTAAATACAGTGGACCCCCGGTTAACGATATTTTTTCACTCCATAAGTATGTTCAGGTGCCAGTACTGACCGAATTTATTCCCATAAGGAATATTGTGAAGTAGATTAGTCCATTTCAGACCCCCAAACATACACGTACAAACGCACTTACATAAATACACTTACATAATTGGTCGCATTCGGAGGTAATCGTTATGCGGGGGTCCACTGTATTGGCGAGGTCACTAACTTTGTGAGAGCGTAATTCCATCAGTTTTCCATCAAATTTCATTCTTTTGGTGTCATTACAACCGGGAAAAGATTCTGTATTATTTCATAGGAATTTTTTTTTTTTTTTTTTTTTTTTTTTTTTTTGAAATTTGTAACACCAGGAGACACCTCAGGATTTAGGGTTGCGACAGTCAAGGGGTTAAAGTTTACAAAATTTGCTAGTTTATGCCCATCATTCACTGGGTATAAAATAGTTAAACTGCCTCTGAGAAATCACTCGTACCCGGATTGCTACCCTCTTTTCCAACACTCAGACACTACAGTGGTATCTATCAGTAGCATTTGATCAAGCCTATCTTGAACAAGAATGGACCCTTGTAGGTTTAGTGCTTTTTGATTATTATAATATAATAATAATAATAATAATAATGTAGGCAGTAGGCTGGTAAACAGCAACCGCCCAGGGAGGTACTACCGTCCTGCCAAGTGAGTGTAAAACGGAAACGTGTAATTGTTTTACATGATGGTAGGATTGCTGGTGTCCTTTTTTTCTGTCTCATAAACATGCAAGATTTCAGGTACGTCTTGCTACTTCTACTTACACTTAGGTCACACTACACATGCATGTACAAGCATATATATGTATATATACACATCCCTCTGGGTTTTCTTCTATTTTCTTTCTAGTTCTTGTTGTTGTTTATTTCCTCTTATCTCCATGGGGAAGTGGAACAGAATTCTTCCTCCGTAAGCCATGCGTGTTGTAAGAGGCGACTAAAATGCCAGGAGCAAGGGGCTAGTAACCCCTTCTCCCGTATAAATTACTAAATTTAAAAAGAGAAACTTTCGTTTTTCTTTTTGGGCCACCCTGCCTTGGTGGGATACGGCCGGTTTGTTGAAAAAAAAAAAAAAAAAAAAAAAAAAAATATATATACACACCCCTCTGGGTTTTCTTCTATTTTCTTACTAGTTCTTGTTCTTGTTTATTTCCTCTTATCTCCATGGGGACATGGAACAGAATTCTTCCTCCATAAGCCATGCGTGTTGTAAGAGGTGACTAAAATGCCGGGAGCAAGGGGCTAGTAACCCCTTCTCCTGTATAAATTACTAAATTTAAAAAGAGAAACTTTCATTTTTCTTTTTGGGCCACCCTGCCTTGGTGGGATACAGCCGGTTTGTTGAAAATAATAATAATAATAATAAGGTAGTACAATGCCTGCACTTTAAAGGAGGGGTTTGGGATATTGGCAGTTTGGAGGGATATGTTGTGTATCTTTATATGTGTATGCTTCTAGACTGTTGTATTCTGAGCACCTCTGCAAAAACAGTGATAATGTGCGAGTGTGGTGAAAGTGTTGAATGATGATGAAAGTATTTTCTTTTTGGGGATTTTCTTTCTTTTTTGGGTCACCCTACCTCGGTGGGAGACGGCTGACTTGTTGAAAAAAAAAAAAAAAAATAAGGTAGTAGGTTGGTAGAAAGCAACCACCCAGGGAGGTACTACTGTCCTGCCAAGTGAGTGTAAAATGAAAGCCTGTAATTGTTTTACATGATGGTAGGATTGCTGGTGTCTTTTGTCTGTCTCATAAATATGCAAGATTACAGGCATGTCTTGCTACTTCTACTTACACTTAGGTCACACTACACATACATGTACACATTTATTTATACACACTCATCTGAGTTTTCTTTGATTTTATCTTAATGGTTCTTGGTCTTATTACTTTTCCTTTTATATCCATGGGGAAGTGGAATAAGAATCTTTCCTCCGTAAGCCTTGTGTGTTGTAAAAGTCAACTAAAATGCCGGGAACAGTGGGCTAGTAACCCCTTTTCCTCTAAAGATTACTAAAAAGAATAAGAAGAAAATTGTCAAAGTGGGAAGTCTGAATGTGTGTGGATGTTGTGCAAATGATAAGAAAGAGATGATTGTGGATGTTATGAATGAGAAGAAGCTGGTTGTCCTGGCTTTAAGTGAAACTAAGCTGAAGGGGTGGAAGAGTTTCAATGGAGAGGAATAAATGGGATTAGGTCAGGGATTTCAAATAGAGTTAGAGCTAAAGAAGGAGTAGCAATAATGTTGAAGGATAAGCTATGGCAGGAAAAGAGGGACTATAAATGTATTAATTCAAAGATTATGTGGAGTAAAATAAAGATTGGATGTGAAAAGTGGGCTATAGTAAGCGTGTATGCACCTGGAGAAGAAAGAAGTGTAGAGGAGAGAGAGAGATTTTGGGAAATGTTGAGTGAATGCGTGGGGAGTTTTGAATCAAGTGTGAGAGTAATGGTGATTGGGGATTTCAATGCTAAAGTGGGTAAAAATGTTATGGAGGGAGTAGTAGGTAAATTTGGGGTGCCAGGGGTAAATGTAAATGGGGAGCCTTTAATTGAGCTATGTGTAGAAAGAGATTTGGTAATAAGTAATACATATTTTATGAAAAAGAGGATAAATAAATATACAAGGTATGATGTAGCACGTAATGAAAGTAGTTTGTTAGATTATGTATTGGTGGATAAAAGGTTGATGGGTAGGCTCCAGGATGTACATGTTTATAGAGGGGCAACTGATATATCGGATCATTATTTAGTTGTAGCTACGGTTAGAGTAAGAGGTAGATGGGAAAAGAGGAAGGTGGCAACAACAAGTAAGAGGGAGGTGAAAGTGTATAAACTAAGGGAGGAGGAAGTTCGGATGAGATATAAGCGACTATTGGCAGAAAGGTGGGCTAGTGCAAAGATGAGTAGTGGGGGGTTGAAGAGGGTTGGAATAGTTTTAAAAATGCAGTATTAGAATGTGGGGCAGAAGTTTGTGGTTATAGGAGGGTGGGGGCAGGAGGAAAGAGGAGTGATTGGTGGAATGATGAAGTAAAGGGTGTGACAAAAGAGAAAAAGGTAGCTTATGAGAGAAATTTAAAAAAAAAAATAAATACATACATGTACAAGCATATATATACACACACCCCTCTGGGTTTTCTTCTATTTTCTTTCTAGTTCCTCTTCTTGTTTATTTCCTCTTATCTCCATGGGGAAGTGGAACAGAATTCTTCCTCCGTAAGCCATGCATGTTGTAAGAGGCGGCTAAAATGCCAGGAGCAGGGGGCAAGTAACCCCTTCTCCCGTATAAATTATTAAATTTAAAAAGAGAAACTTTCGTTTTTCTTTTTGGGCCACCCTGCCTCAGTGGTATACGGCCGGTTTGTTGAAAGAAAAGAAAACATAGCAGCATATATGTAAAGTACGTCCTTAGGATAACCCAAAAAAGTCAGAGTGACTTATTTCCATTGCCTTCACTCAGAGCTTCATTTCTTCTAAAAATGGTGTTATATGAGAATGGGAGTGTTCCTCTTTATTTATTCTACTGTATCAATGTAGAGACAACTTGTACACAAACCAGACGTGTACACCTGGTTTGTTTACAAAACTTATGTTCACCTGGTTTATTTACATAGCTCTGCGCCTGTCCTCTCTCATGTACTCATTCTCTCTCTCTCTCATTTATTCATTTAATCTCACTTACTCACCTCTGACCCTACATTAACCCTTTCAGGGTCCCCAGGCCCTCTCCCAGACTTGTTTTCAGGGTTGCCCAAATTTAAAAAAAAAAATTATTTTTTCTTACGAAAAGATAGAGAATCTTTTTCTGATCATAATGACACCAAGAGTATGAAATTTGATGGAAAAATTGGGGAATTATGTTCTTGCGAAGTTAGCGGTCTCGACAATGTTTATGCATCGGCGATTTTGCCCACTTTGAGCCCTATTTTCGGCTAATTCCAGTGTACTAGTCGACAGAAATCATAACTATTTCGCTAGAACTCCATTTTTTCTATCGAAGGAGTACAAGAAACCACCCATTTACCAATTTCAACTATCCAATACAGTGGTCAGAATCTAGCAGTTTTGCCAATTTCACACAAATTTCAAAAGATGCCAGTTTCCAAATAGGGTCCAGAGTAAACAAGAAAGACATTCCTGGCACTAAAATAACATTTCCTCTGTTCATTAGTCATGTCCCCACGCCCCTCTTACATTCTTTTGCTTTCCACTTTGAATTTTTATTCTCACAAAAAATAGAAGATTTACTGTTATGTGGGCTACTGCATTAGTGTAGAAATGGTATAAATAATATCGGCGCACTTGTGAAAGAATATTAGACTCACCAGTTGACGTGTATTGGACGCTTAGCATGATTTGTTTACTTTTGAGCTTTGGTAAAAATTGAACATTTCTGCTATTTTGAGCTCAATTTCAAGGTACTTTTCATTGTAAAACCAGTCAAAATCATCTCAATTTCTGTAATATGTCTTCCATTCCAGGAAAACTAGAATACAACAATAAATACCATAAGAAAATACAGTGCAAAGTCGCTGTTTTAATCCAAAAACACGGTCAAAGTTTTTTTTTTTTCTCATTACGCACTGTGTGCTGCAGGATTTTTTTTTATACTGCGCACACTGACCACATAGACCCATTCTTTCACATGTAGGCCTACCAGCTTTCTCTCACTAGATTTGAGGGCGCTAGAATTTAAGCATACTAGTACGTCAAAAACCCTGGTGCGTAAGCCGTACTAGTACGTCCGAAACCCTGAAAGGGTTAAGACTACAAATATTTTAAGCTAAGTGAACTGTATATGCATTTTATCGCTCTGGGACGCTGAAATGTCATAGAATATTATGTGTGGGTGGAATGGCCTGGTATGGTAGCCCGGCTGGGTACCATACATACCACACTTGATTTCTTACAATAAATACTACTCATCTCACCCTAGATTAAGACTACAAATATTTTAAGGTATGTAATGAGTGAACTGTATATGCATTTTATCGCTCTGGGATGCTTAAATGTCATAGAAAGTTATGTGTAGGCGGAATGGCCTGGCATGGTATCCTGGCTGGCTACCATACATACCACACTTGATTTTTTCAATAAATACTACTCATCTCAGCCTAGATTAAGACTACAAATATTTTAAGGTAAGTAATGACTGTACTGTATGTGTATTTTCCTTTTTTATTGTTTTTGTAATGCCTAGTTCTATTGCTAACTTAATACATGTTAGTGTAAGCTTGCTATCTAGTATTGATGTGCATTTATAAGTGAAAAAAAAGGGTGTTCCACTCTATGGCGATTTCCACTTTACGGCGGTGGCCTGGACCCTAACCTGCCATATAAGTGGGGCCCTACTGTAAATGACAGAATCATAAGCCATAAGTCTACATATAATGGTGAATTCTTTCATTTTTGGTCTCTTTTCAGCTCGAAAAGAGATAGAGGTGTGTTTATCAGGGTTTTTCTATATGCATACAGGATTTGATTCAAAATTTGTAATCAAAGAAAAAAATAGATGAGAATGCTGTGAAACTGCTCTGATCATGGCAACTAATACAGTATTTCTAGTCTCAGAAATACAGCCTCAGGTACAATATTTGAAACATTTCATCAAATACATTTCATCAGGCTTGGGTAGCACACTATCAGCTCTCAAAATGTCAGCAATAACTATGTTCAAGAATTACAACACTAACTACAACACAAAACTTAGCACATTTCTAGCTCTCCTATATAAGAGTAACTTCTTCATTGCTGGTGCAGTGGATGAGTTATGTAAAACAAACCTTGACAGTATTGTGAATGAGCTGAAAGAACCTCAGGAGAGAATTTAGTAGCTCAAGAACTGAGTGTAGCTGGTTTGTTAGCAGCATCAAACAGCAATGATAATGAGTAAGACTCGTGCGACAGGTAACTTCCACGAAATGTTTCACCTGCACAGTAGGCTACTTCAGTCCTGAAAGATACTTGAAGGATGTTCTCGGAAGTCAGTGCCCCTGTGACCTAGTCCCAGACCAGTCTTTCTAGTGGGTCAGGGCCTGATCAAGGTTTTATGTTGTCTAATATATGAACTATGGCTTGGCGGGTCAGGAACTGATTTTAGAAACATATCACGTTCTCTCTTGAAGACAGGTGCTTGCTCGTAATTCCCTTTTTGCATGGAGGGTGGGAGTTGAAGTTGGAGACGTCTGACACTTGTCGAGTTCTCTCGTAATGTTCTTATCATGCCCATGCTTTGTGTTGGGGATACTATGCACTATGGAAAAAGACACTTATGTACAGTTCAGGACATTTATTAAAGGAAACGTTTCACCACGAGTGGCTTCTTCAGGACTGAAGAAGGACTGAAGAAGCCACTCGTGGCGAAACGTTTCCTTTAATAAATGTCCTGAACTGTACATAAGTGTCTTTTTCCACATCTTGTCGGTATCACCATACCATTTCCTCATACTATGCACTGTCTGACAAGTCTCCTGTGTTCATATGGAGCAATTTTGGTGTGCAGGTTTAGGATGAGTCCCTCCAGGAATACAGTTGAGGGGGCTTCAAAAGTTCCCAGTAGATTACATGTGTGATTGAATGAATACAGGCAGAGAAAATTCTCTGTATATTTTCCAGCTCAGCAATCTTGTTTACTTTGAAGAGGGCTGTTAGTATACTGTAGTATTCCAGCCTGGAGATAACAAGTGACTTAAAGAATATAATAATTGACTCAGCCTCCCCTGTCTTGGAATTTCTAGTTATCCAGCATATCATTTTTCTTTCAGTACCAAGAGCAACAATGTGATCCTAGAATATGTGATCTTATATAATCAGTGAAAAATGCAGTGTGTATATATATACAAACATATATATAAATATGCATGATGGTAGGATTGCTGGTGTCTTTTGTCTGTCTCATAAACATGCAAGATTTCAGGTACATCTTGCTACTTCTACTTACACTTAGGTCACACTACACATACATGTACAAGCATATATATACACACCCCTCTGGGTTTTCTTCTATTTTCTTTCTAGTTCTTGTTCTTGTTTATTTCCTCTTATCTCCATGGGGAAGTGGGGTCAGAATTCTTCCTCCGTAAGCCATGCATGTTGTAAGAGGTGACTAAAATGCCGGGAGCAAGGGGCTAGTAACCCCTTCTCCTGTATATATTACTGAATGCAAAAGGAGAAACTTCTGTTTTTCCTTTTGAGCCACCCTGCCTCAGTGGGATATGGCCGATGTGTTTAAAGAAAGAAAGAAAGATATATATACATATACTGTATATGCACACAGTGTGGTATAATGTTACAGTTTTATTGTATTTGCTAGGTTCAGAACTGTGCCCTGTACCTCCTGAGGTTATGCACACAGTTCAGAAACTTGTACGTGGTGTGGTGACTGCCCGGGGAGTCGTGCATGGTACCACAGTTGAGTACAGGTGTCGTGCAGGCTACAGGAATGTCTTGGCTCCATGTGTGGCCCATTCTCTCACTTGCCATGAGGGACAGTGGCACGGCACTTCTCCTGAATGTGGTTAGTTGGAAATGTTACTTTGTGGTCTTTGAAAATTAGTAGGTTGAGATGTGTGGATTTTGAAGAGATGAATAAGATGAGAAAGTAAATAGAGTAAAACATCCTGGTAATTATTTGAAAAGTTGAGGAAGAGAGAGTAACTAGAGTACAACATTTTGTTGTTGAGGGATTCTTGTACCACTGCATTCAAAAGGAAATAATTGACAGGTTCATGAAAACTAATGAATGTTAAGAACCTTTAATAGTTTTTGTAAGTTGTGATTACCCTATCAGTTTATATGCACAATAATTAATAATAAAGTATTTTAATAAAAGCAAAGTATACTTTAAGGCTCACAGCAGATGTCAAAGAATCCTTGGTTATTCAGATAACTTTATAAATCTGTACACAGTAATTTTATTATGAGTATAGCTGTTGTTTTCATAAGCACATAAAAAAAATTGGATGCTATTCATCAATAATATAAAAGCATAGGTAGGAAAATTCAAGTGTACTGTATTTAGATGGCCACTTAAAAATTTACTCACTAATTAAGATGAAACATGATAATGTCAAGTGATATTGGTTACATACTCTGCCATCCTCTTGGACAGTTTCAGCATTTAAACAGACAAACAACTTTATTTCTTTGTGTAGTATACATAGTGCAGTTTACATGTATTAAAATATTGTTAAGAACAAAGAAAGCCACTACTTAAGATTAATGTTGTTCTCTTAACTGAAACTGACATCATACACTGTAACCTCTTTTTTTTCTTTGCCCCTTGTACTCATCCTGAATATGAATACTAACTACTATTATTCTAACATCCGATTCACTTTGCTATGAGGTCATAGAAAGGCAGAATACCAGCAAACAGAGCATAGTATTGTAACACTTGTAGCAGAGTAAGCCTTTATTGGACATTTGGCATAAAGTTGAGTTTGTTCGTGTTATACAGAAGAACTCAACAACCTTCCATGTGTGTCCTCCATCTGGTGAGGTTTAGTGGTTGCTGTGCTTTAAATCTCTGTATTACCACTGCCATGTTAATGCTGACTGACCAAAATGGGTGAAGCACTTTTCATGAATATAATATAGAATACAGAAATAATATTATGAGAGTATGTACACTGTAAGTGTGGGTAATAATAGGGTATATACTTAAATTGAAAGTAAATAATGTACTGTATTAGAAGAATTCAAAATTGGTGAATTATCAGTCTGTTTTCCACATAACATTAGTTGTGCATTTTAATCATAAGTAATACAGTTATATGATGTTAACAGAGGAATTCAACAGTTGTGTGGCACCCCCAAACATCGCACACGGCTTCATGTATGATGGAGCGTCTTCATACCCACTACAGTCACAGGTACAGCAAGTGCAATATAGGAGAGGCCTGGGGACATGATAAATGAACAGAGGAAATGCTTTTTAGAGCAAAGAATGTCTACATTGTTTAGTTTGCACTCTATTTTTAAATTGGTATTTTTAATTTTATGTAAAACTGGCTAAATTACCAAATTCTATGCACTTTATAGGGTAGTTGTAATTGTTTAATTGGTGGTTTCTTGTGCTCAGTGAGTAGAATGGAAGGCATACTAACAAAATAGCTAAGAGTTTGGTTGACTAGAGCAATGGAATTTACATAAAGTAGGGCTTAAAGTGGGCAAAATTACCGATGTGTAAATTGTGCCCAGACTGCTAACTTTATGCCAGCCTAATTTCCAAAATTTTCCATAAAATTTTGTACTTTTGGTGCTGTTACCTTCAAGAAAAGATTCTCTACCATTTCAAAAGAATTTTTTTTAAAGTGGACACTGGTGGTCTGGACAGTGAAAGGGTTAAAAAAAAACATCCATACTCATAGCTACCCTTCAAGGACTTGTCAGGCAGGAAAATGCTAATAAAAATTAGGTAGATCAGTGGATAAATTGAAGGATGATTACACACTGTAATGAATATTATGTTTTCTGCCAGGTGTACTTTTCGTGCGAGCCAGGATACCGACTGGTAGGCCCGTCTGTATTGACATGCGAAGACACTGGTTGCTGGACCCCACGGATGCCTCCTGTGTGTCATCTCTCACATCAGTATGAAGGTCACTGATGTGTTATATATCCTTGTTACTTAGTAAAAAGTTGCATTTTGCATCTTAGACAGAATTTTTAAACCTTTGGATTCTAAGTGCAAAATTGACCTTAATTTCGGTTGAATGGCTGATATGGGTTTAGAGCTTTCTTTGGGAATATAATAATAATTATTGTTAGTCCATGGCATCCATTAATGTTTTCCCTTTCCTGAGATATTTCACTTCCTTGAATTGTAATTTTTTTTCTAACACTGGTTGTATCCTGCCTAGGTAGGGTGGCCCAAATCAAGGAAATGCATTCACTATCATTCATTCAATAGTTATCTTGCCAGAAGTGGAAGACATCATTATTCAAATAAATCTTCAAACTGCAACATCCTCATCTCTCCTTCAGAGTGTTGGCATTGTCGGGTAACTGGTTTTCCTGTAATCCTTTAACTCTTTCAGGGTCCGTCCCGTAGATCTACAGCTTCACGTTGAGTGTCCAAACCATAGATCTACGCCAAAATTCTAGTGCCGTCAAATTTAGCACGAAAGCGCTCATAGGCCTACATGTGAGAGAACGGGTCTGCGTGGTGGGTGTGCACCATAAACAAAAAATCTAGGCGCCCGCATAGCATTGTGGGAATGTCGGCTCAGTTACCCTTGTTCACCATGCCTCGTCGCAAGGCAGCTCTCACTCCAAGGAAAATTGGGACTCTCCTGTTCCTATCTGATAGTTCTGACAGTGATGGAAGTGGAAATGAAGACGAATTCTTTGGCTTTGATCAGTTAGTGACTGAAAGGAATGACCAGGATATCGATAATAGTGCAGAAAACCCTGACGATCCTCAACCTTCTACCTCTGGTGTGGGCACTCATCAGTTACGGTCGGTTGTACCTCAACGAAAGAGAAAACTATTATTTTCGCGTGGCCAGGCCTCTGACTTCAGTAATGATGATGATAGTGATGTGGATTGTGATTTTATTGCTCTTGACGATCATTCGAGTAGTGATAGTGAGGAATCATATTCACCAGTGAAGCGTCGGTATGTATGCCGCTGCATGCGCTCGGGTAGTGTACCCTATGCCATGCCCAGGGGACGGAGTACATCCCGGAGTACACCCCATGGCCCTACACCAGGTATAGATAGTGATAGTGAGGATGATGTGGCTACACTTAGCATGGATAGACCACAGGCATCACTAGATGGTGGTAGTGGTGATGGTAGTGCCACGGCCATGTGTGACTTACCAGCCCAGGCTGGGACCCATGCTGCTGACTCTGCAGTTCAAGGACAAAGCGGAGCATCAGCCACCAGCCCACCACAACCACAACTACCCGCACAACCAGCCTATGATGTCCAGTATCCACCAGCAAACCGTATCTGGGATTGGCAGCAAAATCCCAATTTTGTTCCCAAGCCTCACCACTTTGATGACTCTGAAAGTGGAATTCTATCTACTTGTCCCCTTGGAAACACTGCAAATGAACTGGAATTCTTTGAATTATTCTTTGACCAGCCATTGATGGAAACTATTGTCAGGGAAAGTAATAAGTATTTTGAGTACACCATGGCAAATAAGATCATATCACCACAGTCAAGACTACACCGGTGGAAAGAGACGACTGTTGCAGAAATGTATTTAGTTTTTCCAACAATAATGCTTATGCCTCATGTCTATAAGCATAATATAAAAGCATACTGGTCCACAGATCGGCTGATTTCTACCCCGGTCTTCAGTGAAATCATCCCAGTGAACAGGTTTATCTTACTGTTACGTATGTTGCACTTCTCTGACAAAACCAGGCCTGACGGAAGTGACAGGTTATACAAGATTAGAAATGTTTTTATGTATCTCAAACAAAAGCTCGGCATATACTTTTATCCATTCAAGAATCTTGTAATTGACGAGTCTTTGATTTTGTTCAAAGGTAGACTGTCATTCAAGCAGTATATACCGAGCAAGAGGAAACGCTTTGGTATAAAACTGTTTGTACTCTGTGACTGTGACACGGGAAGTAAAACATTGAAAGATACCAAGATGTTATTGGGTATCTCAGGTGACGTAGTGAGAAGCATGATGGCACCTTATCTTGGTAAGGGGCATACATTATATACCGATAACTGGTACACAAGCCCATTACTCAGTGATTTCTTGCGAGTGAACAAGACAGATGTGTATGGCACGGTGAGCTCTAATTGTAAACATATGCCCAGGCTTTACGCAGGTGCTCGTGGTTTACCTGGAGTTTACCTGGAGAGAGTTCCGGGGGTCAACGCCCCCGCGGCCCGGTCTGTGACCAGGCCTCCTGGTGGATCAGAGCCTGATCAACCAGGCTGTTGCTGCTGGCTGCACGCAAACCAGCGTACGAGCCACAGCCCGGCTGGTCAGGAACCAACTTTAGGTGCTTGTCCAGTGACAGCTTGAAGACTGCCAGGGGTCTGTTGGTAATCCCCCTTATGTATGCTGGGAGGCAGTTGAACAGTCTCGGGCCTCTGACACTTATTGTATGGTCTCTTAACATGCTAGTGACACCCCCGCTTTTCATTGGGGGGATGTTGCATCGTCTGCCAAGTCTTTTGCTTTCGTAGTGAGTGATTTTCGTGTGCAAGTTCGGTACTAGTCCCTCTAGGATTTTCCAGGTGTATATAATCATGTATCTCTCCCGCCTGCGTTCCAGGGAATACAGTTTTAGGAACCTCAAGCGCTCCCAGTAATTGAGGTGTTTTATCTCCGTTATGTGCGCCGTGAAGGTTCTCTGTACATTTTCTAGGTCAGCAATTTCACCTGCCTTGAAAGGTGCTGTTAGTGTGCAGCAATATTCCAGCCTAGATAGAACAAGTGACCTGAAGAGTGTCATCATGGGCTTGGCCTCCCTAGTTTTGAAGGTTCTCATTATCCATCCTGTCATTTTCTAGCAGATGCGATTGATACAATGTTATGGTCCTTAAAGGTGAGATCCTCCGACATGATCACTCCCAGGTCTTTGACGTTGGTGTTTCACTCTATTTTGTGGCCAGAATTTGTTTTGTACTCTGATGAAGATTTAATTTCCTCGTGTTTACCATATCTGAGTAATTGAAATTTCTCATCGTTGAACTTCATATTGTTTTCTGCAGCCCACTGAAAGTTTTCGGTTGATGTCCGCCTGGAGCCTTGCAGTGTCTGCAATGGAAGACACTGTCATGCAGATTCGGGTGTCATCTGCAAAGGAAGACACGGTGCTGTGGCTGACATCCTTGTCTATGTCGGATATGAGGGTGAGGAACAAGATGGGAGCGAGTACTGTGCCTTGTGGAACAGAGCTTTTCACCGTAGCTGCCTCAGACTTTACTCTGTTGACGACTACTCTCTGTGTTCTGTTAGTGAGGAAATTATAGATCCATCGACCGACTTTTCCTGTTATTCCTTTATCACGCATTTTGTGTGCTATTACGCCATGGTCACACTTGTCGAAGGCTTTTGCAAAGTCTGTATATATTACATCTGCATTCTTTTTGTCTTCTAGTGCATTTAGGACCTTGTCGTAGTGATCCAATAGTTGAGACAGACAGGAGCGACCTCTTCTAAACCCATGTTGCCCTGGGTTGTGTAACTGATGGGTTTCTAGATGGGTGGTGATCTTGCTTCTTAGGACCCTTTCAAAGATTTTTATGATATGGGATGTTAGTGCTATCGGTCTGTAGTTCTTTGCTGTTGCTTTACTGCCCCCTTTGTGGAGTGGGGCTATGTCTGTTGTTTTTAGTAACTGTGGGACGACCCCCGTGTCCATGCTCCCTCTCCATAGGATGGAAAAGGCTCGTGATAGGGGCTTCTTGCAGTTCTTGATGAACACGGAGTTCCATGAGTCTGGCCTTGGGGCAGAGTGCATGGGCATGTCATTTATCGCCTCTTCGAAGTCATTTGGCGTCAGGATAACATCGGATAGGCTTGTGTTAACCAAATTTTGTGGCTCTCTCTCATAAAAAATTAATTTTGATCTTTGACTCTCAGTCTGGTTAGCGGCTTGCTAAAAACTGAGTCATATTGGGACTTGAGTAGCTCACTCATTTCCTTGCTGTCATCTGTGTAGGACCCATCTTGTTTAAGTAGGGGCCCAATACTGGACGTTGTTCTCGACTTTGATTTGGCATAGGAGAAGAAATACTTTGGGTTTCTTTCGATTTCATTTATGGCTTTTAGTTCTTCCCGCGATTCCTGATTCCTATAAGATTGCTTTAGCTTAAGTTCGATGCTTGCTATTTCTCTGACCAGTGTCTCCCTACACATTTCAGATATATTGACCTCTTTTAGCCGCTCTGTTATTCTTTTCCGTCGCCTGTAAAGGGAGCGCCTGTCTCTTTCTATTTTACATCTACTCCTCCTTTTTCATAGAGAAATAAGCCTTGTGCATACATCGAGTGCCACCAAGTTAATCTGTTCTAGGCATAAGTTGGGGTCTGTGTTGCTTAGTATATCTTCCCAGCTTATATCGGTTAGGACTTGGTTTACTTGGTCCCACTTTATGTTTTTGTTATTGAAGTTGAATTTGGTGAATGCTCCCTCGTGAGTAGTCTCATTATGTCAGTCTGGGGCTCCACGCATACATGTCTGAACCTCAATTATGTTGTGATCTGAGTATTTTGTTTTTGATATGGTGACATTTCTTATCAGATCATCATTGTTAGTGAAGATGAGGTCTAGTGTATTCTCCAGTCTAGTAGGCTCTATTATTTGCTGGTTTAACCCTTTCAGGGTCCATCCCGTAGATCTACGGCTTTACGGTGAGTGTCCAAACCGTAGATCTACGCCATGAGCTCAGCTCACTCTGATAAACTGTGAGTGGTACATTTGGGCCTAGATATGAGAGAATACATCTATGTGGTATGTGTGCACCACATAAAACAGATCCTGTAGCACACTGTGTATAATGAGAGAAAAAAACTGAAATCATGATTTTTCGATTAAAACAGCAACTTTGCAGTGTTTTTTCGTATGTTTTTTATAGTTGTATTTGCGATTTCTTGGTCTCGTTTGATAGAATGGAAGACATATTACAGAAATAGAGATGATTTTGATTGGTTTTAGCACTGGAAATGGCTTGAAACTGAGCTCAAAGTAGCGGAAATGTTAAATTTTTGCAGATATTCAAGAGTAAACAAACGACCTCACATATCTAATACACGTCAGCTGGTGGGTCTAATATACATTCACAAATATGGTGATGATATTTATACAATTATTACAGTATTGCATAACAGTAAATCTTCTATTTTTTGGTGTGAATAAAAATTCATTATGTGAATAAAAAATCAAAATGGAATTTATTTGTAAAGCCTCAAAACATAACTAATGAACAGAGGAAATGTTAGTTTAGTGCCAGGAATGCCTACATTGTTTTTTCTGGACCCTATTTTGAAATTGGAATATTTTGAACTTTGTGTTAAATTGGCCAAATTAACAATTTCCGATCACTTTATTTTGTAGTTGAAACATTTGACTTGGCGATTTCTTGTGCTCAATCGATAGAATAGAAGTAATACTAGTGAAATAGCTAAGAATTTGGTTGATTGGAATAATGTAATTGGCCTAAAATGGGAGTCAAAGTCGGTAAAATCGCCGATTCGTAAATATCGCTGACACATCAAAATTTGCGAGAGCATAATTTCGTTAATTTTCCACCAAATTTCGTACTTTTTGTTTTATTACCTTCACAAGAAGATTCTCTACGATTTCATAAGAAAAAATAACAAATTTTTTTTTTGAAAATTCTTGGACACTGGTGCGTGACTCCAGATTTGGGCCTTGGACCCTGAAAGGGTTAAATTGAATTTTGTGCAGAGATTTAAAAGCTCGTGTGAGTGTGAGTTTTCATCAGAGCTGCCTCCTGGTGTTATTACTGCAACAATATTATTTGCTATATTCCTCCATTTGGTGATGTCGTGCAGGTGTTTACTGCCAATGACATCATGGCATTACGGTGGCATGACAAACGAGATGTCACATTGTTGACAACCATTCACCGTAATGAAATGCAAGACAGTGGCAAAGTTGATCGAGTGACTAATGAACGTATTCGAAAACCAGTGACAGTGATTGATTATACACAAAACATGTGCTTGGTTGACAAATGTGACATGCAGATTGGCTTTGTTGATTGTGTTCGTAAAAGTTACAAGTGTTTCATGAAACTTTTCTTCCATCTCATGGACATTTCAATGCTCAATGCATATAATATGTACCAAATGAAGACTGGCAACAGACCACCGTATGGTGAATTTTGTTTGTCTGTTGTCAGACAATTCATAATGAAGTACCAGGTAACAACACCTGCTATACAACAAGGTCCTCGAACTCCTCAGGATATACCCAAGCGTTTGAGGAGGGAAGGTGATCATTTCATATTACAGCTTCCTTCAACTCGGAAGAAATTTGCTCAGAAGAGATGCATCGTCTGTGCACAAACAAAACGACGGCAACAAAGATGCAAAGACACTTGGTTTATGTGTGAGGAATGTAAGGTACCTCTGTGCATGGTGCCTTGTTTCAAGGAGTTCCACAAGCTCCAGCAGTTCTAAAACCATGTCCAGTGATTGTAAATATGTAAATATATGATAGAACATTAGTATTATACAAGATTTGTGCATGTTTATTGTAATAAACAACAGTGGTAAACAATAATATGATAATAACTCTAGTGCGGTTATTGTGTTCAATACAGTGAGTTTATATATATATATATTATATATATATATATAATATATATATATATATATATATATATATATATATATATATATATATATATATATATAATATATATATATATATATATATATATATACAAGGAGGTTTCAGAGTGGGTAGGGGATGTGTAGATCAAGTGTTTACATTGAAGCATATATGTGAACAGTATTTAGATAAAGGTAGGGAAGTTTTTATTGCATTTATGGATTTAGAAATGGCATATGATAGAGTGGATAGAGGAGCAATGTGGCAGATGTTGCAAGTATATGGAATAGGTGGTAAGTTATTAAATGCTGTAAAGAGTTTTTATGAGGATAGTGAGGCTCAGGTTAGGGTGTGTAGAAGAGAGGGAGACTACTTCCCGGTAAAAGTAGGTCTTAGACAGGGATGTGTAATGTCACCATGGTTGTTTAATATATTTATAGATGGGGTTGTAAAGGAAGTAAATGCTAGGGTGTTCGGGAGAGGGTGGGATTAAATTTTTGGGAATCAAATTCAAAATGGGAATTGACACAGTTACTTTTTGCTGATGATACTGTGCTTATGGGAGATTCTAAAGAAAAATTGCAAAGGTTAGTGGATGAGTTTTGGGAATGTGTGTAAAGGTAGAAAGTTGAAAGTGAACATAGAAAAGAGTAAGGTGATGAGGGTGTCAAATGATTTAGATAAAGAAAAATTGGATATCAAATTGGGGAGGAGGAGTATGGAAGAAGTGAATGTTTTCAGATACTTGGGAGTTGACGTGTCGGCGGATGGATTTATGAAGGATGAGGTTAATCATAGAATTGATGAAGGAAAAAAGGTGAGTGGTGCGTTGAGGTATATGTGGAGTCAAAAAACGTTATCTATGGAGGCAAAGAAGGGAATGTATGAAAGTATAGTAGTACCAACACTCTTATATGGGTGTGAAGCTTGGGTGGTAAATGCAGCAGCGAGGAGACGGTTGGAGGCAGTGGAGATGTCCTGTTTAAGGGCAATGTGTGGTGTAAATATTATGCAGAAAATTCGGAGTGTGGAAATTAGGAAAAGGTGTGGAGTTAATAAAAGTATTAGTCAGAGGGCAGAAGAGGGGGTTTTTGAGGTGGTTTGGTCATTTAGAGAGAATGGATCAAAGTAGAATGACATGGAAAGCATATAAATCTATAGGGGAAGGAAGGCGGAGTAGGGGTCGTCCTCGAAAGGGTTGGAGAGAGGGGGTAAAGGAGGTTTTGTGGGCAAGGGGCTTGGACTTCCAGCAAGCATGCGTGAGCGTGTTAGATAGGAGTGAATGGAGACGAATGGTACTTGGGACCTGACGATCTGTTGAGTGTGAGCAGGTAATATTTAGTGAAGGGATTCGGGGAAACCGTTATTTTCATATAGTCGGACTTGAGTCCTGGAAATGGGAAGTACAATGCCTGCACTTTAAAGGAGGGGTTTGGGATATTGGCAGTTTGGAGGGATATGTTGTGTGTCTTTATACGTATATGCTTCTAAACTGTTGTATTCTGAGCACCTCTGCAAAAACAGTGATAATGTGCGAGTGTGGTGAAAGTGTTGAATGATGATGAAAGTATTTTCTTTTTGGGGATTTTCTTTTTTTTTTGGGTCACCCTGCCTCGGTGGGAGACGGCCGACTTGTTGAAAAAAAAAAAAAAAAACATTATATACAGTATTGGTCTCTCAGGCCCCAAATGTTAGTAGGAAAAGAAAAAAATTGGAAAAGAAAAGAAAAAAAAACTACAAAAACTGCTAAATAAAGTAATGCGCGTATGTGGAAATCGTCGATGTTGCCACCATCAGGTCATTTTGGACAAACTTCTCGGCACTGTATCTCGGTAAGTACTGATCAGAAAAATTTTTTTTTGTCTTATTACCTTCACAAAAATATGCTCTTTAATTCTGTAAGAAAAATAATTTTTTTTTTTTTTTTTTTTTTTTTTTTTTTTCAAAATTTCTTGGACACTGGAGCACCACTTCAGATTTTGGCCTTGGACCCTCAAGGGGTTAAAACTGGTTAGCCAGACCTGAGTCCAGGAGGTGAGAATGTTAGTTATTTGAAATGTGATGTCTGCAGACTTCTGGCAAGACAGCTAGTGAAGTAATTATTGTGAATATGTTTAATTTTTACATGGTTACTCTTTCTAGGTGGGAGATGGCCATTGTGTTATGAGAAACTGTTGTTGTCTGGCAGCTGTTGGTGAACTAATTTATAAAATTTCTTGTATCATATCAACCTGTAACCACTTCAAACATTTGTGGCCATCATATTATTGCCTGACTTTTAATATATTCAAACAGTTGAGAATATTACAGCTTCACAAATGCTCAGCATATCACATTTGTCAAATTTACTAGGCTAGAAATTACAATACACTACTGTACAAATATACTTTTCAGATGATATTCAGAGTGAGAAATCTGTGCTTGATATGCACACTATCCTCGTGGCAACCACTGGCAGTGTCATCGGCATCTTGCTTATTGTCCTTGCTCTTATATGTAAGTGTAATGACTTTTGAATTTCCTGTCTGTAATTAGAATCCTGCTTTTATTTAATATATAAATATGATGAGGTATCACTAGTAAGGTGTTTGACTTGTGATTCTTATTTTTCCTTTTTTCTACCATTTCATTTTTAGACAGTATTTCCAACAAAAATGGCCGACATGGCAAAAATAAATCTCTGAAGGAGTTTGTCACAAGGACAATAGCATACAACACTTGAGTATTCCTGATATGGACCGAGCCTGGCCCATGACCGGGCTCTGAGAGTAGTGCAAGAAAGGTATGAAATACCGACAATATGAAAGTTATACAAAAGATGAGGTAATCAGTCCATCAGCCTTGGGGTTAGTGTTGACAGCACCATGGTGGTGGAGACTGACGCCTATATAACCGCCAGTCTTCTTGCCTTTGCTCCAGACTCCATCACCATAGTGCTGTCAGCACTAACTCCAAGGCTGAGGGACTAATTACCTTATCTTTTGTATATAGTTCTGCTGTCTTCTAATTATGTCCTAGAATCTGTATTGATAAAGCCACTGGACTGCAAAACGTCTAGAATAAAGATATCCAGATGTTGGACATGTGTCTTAGCTCTGAGAGTAGTTAAACTCTTGAAACTCTTCAAAGGGATGGAGATTCCTTTTAAAATTAGCCATTATAGACCCTGATACGTCACAACAAAATGTGCGACAATTAGCACACACTCAAATATCATACCTGCTGAAACTCTTAAGCTGAAAGAGGGGGGAAAGTAAGGATGGAAGGAGAGAAGAGGGATGTAGGCATGAGGGGAGGCGAGGAGATACTGAGGGGAGGCGAGGAGATACTGAGGGGAGGCGAGGAGATACTGAGGGGAGGCGAGGAGATACTGAGGGGAGGCGAGGAGATACTGAGGGGAGGCGAGGAGATACTGAGGGGAGGCGAGGAGATACTGAGGGGAGGTGAGGAGATGCTGAGGGGAGGCGAGGAGATACTGAGGGGAGATGAGGAGATACGGAGGGGAGGCGAGGAGATACTGAGGGGAGGCGAGCAGATACTGAGGGGAGGCGAGCAGATACTGACGGGAGGCGAGGAGATACTGAGGGGAGGCAAGAAGATACTGAGGGGAGGCTAGGACTTACTGAGGGGAGGTGAGGAAATACTGAGGGAAGCAGAGGAGATACTGAAGGGAAGAGAGAGAGAGAGAGAGAGAGAATTTTTTTTTTGTTTTTTTTGGTGTTTGTTTAGGAGAAAAAATATTGCATTTCTTATTTTTGTAGGTGAACAATACATTTCTAATGATATTGATTTTTTCTGTTTATTGGAAATATTGGTCTTCTGTTAAAATTTTTATATACTGTATTAATGCGATCAACAGGTCAAATAATTATGTCACACCAGTCAGTGGGCAGATAACCGATAAGTTATCCTAAGTAGAAAGTGGGCATTTATTTGTGATTGTGAACACACCAAGGCAAAATAACTTTTTTCTCACATCTGTGTCAAGTTTCCATTAAATTACTTCAGGTATTCTCTCTTAATTTGCATTAGTATTACAGTAGAATGAAGAGGCTATTTTATCCAGGGGTATTGAGTTTTAAAATAAATTCATCAATTTACATGAAAAGTAATGAAACAAATTCATTTCAGTGTACCAGAGAGCTGTAAGTCCCAAGCTGGTACGCCTGCACAATAGTGGAAGTGGGGGCGATTTGCCACCAGTCCAGCACAACTGTCCCTCTAATACATCCCAGCCGCAGCCTGAGCACGACCCTGACAGAGTTGCTCTCATTGCCTTCCCCGATGAGGTAATTGTTGGTCTGCACTGCTTACCACTATAATCTAATTTTGGAATCTTCATACTTATGCAAAAAAAAATATGAAAAATGAACATTGTTTATTGAGTGAAAATGGGAGACATAAAAAAAGGTAAGAGTAAAGAAAAATATTAAAAAGTTACAAAAACAAATGTATGAAAAGTCTGAAAAATATATATGACAATTTTATTAAAAAAAAAAAAGTGTGTAATGGAAAGAAATGCAAAAGGAGACTGAGAGAAAAATGTGCAGTAATTTGAAGTGTAAATTTGATTATATGGTAAAGAATATGGGAGTGATATCATGTACTGCAGAGGGAAAATATTATCTAAAGAAAAAGCATCTATAATTAAGTTAGAAACTAGGAAAACTTGAGAAGAGGCTACAATAAGAGCAAAGGTGTTTAACTATAATAGTGACATATATTGATTGTTTTTAACATTATACATACATACTTGTACAACACAAATTGTACTAAAGATCTGCACAAAACCAGTATAGTACTTTTTTATAATGACATTTATAATAAAATTTCAAGTAAACAGAGATTAGTTTACTAAACATAGCAACAAAATAGATAAATGGATACCAAGAGAAGTGTAGGGAGAGGTTATAATCAAGAGGTATGAGGGTAATAGTGAATTGCAGACTTAAGTTAGCAGGGAGGCTTTTACAAAAGGATGTGGTTTCATAGATCAGACATTTAGAATAAAGATGAGACTAAAAATGCATATAGCAAATAGGAGAGGCTCTATGTTGTATTCATAGTTATAAGGAAAGTGTATAATTAGAATATTTTATAGAAAGCTATGAAAATTCATGGTGAAGTTTGTGTTTTATTTTAAGTAGTCCCCATTGCTTAATAATCTGTAAAGCCTATCAACTACACTAAGGTCATTAACCTTTTCACCACATGACAAGAATACTTTAATCCTTAAAATGGGGATTAAACTCTCAGTATATATACATGAATGTACTTCTCGGTGTGTACAGTCAGCTTCCTTGTAAAGCTTCTCCATATTGTACAGTTTTTATAAACACTAGTGAAAAAGTACATACATCCAAAATTGAATATCCCATGGAAAAGGCTTCATAATACATTCTATTCAATTTGAGGTTCACCTTTTTCAGTTGCATTTACAAATCTTGTTCTGTGTAGAGAAGCTTTATAAGAGAGCTGATTGTACATCGTAAGAGTCCCTGTGTATAATGTATGGAGTAAAATTCTTTTACTATAAATATTATAGTGAGACAAAAACTGTATACAGCTAGCCCTCCACTTTCACAAGCTTCGAACATTCGCGAATGCCCAGCCGCCCAATCATATTTACCAAACAAATGTATATACAATATTCTACGATGTTTTCATGTGTTTTATAATTGTTCATGGTTCAGTAGGTTAAGGAAGCAGTATTGTTAGGCTAAGTAAATGCTATTACAGTAGGGCTCCACTTTACAGCGTTTTGCCTTACTGCGTTCCGCTAATACGACAATTTCAAATTACGACCAAAACTCTTTATACGGCGAGTGGTCTTTCTAATACAGTGCACCCCATCCGGTTTGTTTACATTCTCCGTGAGCACATCTCTCTATTATGTTTGGTAACTTTCCAAAAGTTCAAGTGTTTTGAAGTTACTGCATATTTTATATGTACTCTGATAATTACACTTATGCATACCTGTACCTAAATATACTTACATAGCACTGGCATGCAGGTACACATTAAAATCACTAAGAGTGTCCCTGTAGTCTTAACGCCATAGTAATAATACTAATACGTAATAATCACTCTTGGGCACATTAAGTGTCTTATTTTACATTAATATAGACATTTTCATTAATCCATCTATGATATTTTCTTTAAAATTATACAAGAAACACGTTATAATATAAATATGATATGTTTATATGCTATGGAAGTGTGGTTGCCTAACAGGGAAAACATTATGTTATACTAATAATAATCACTCTTGGGCACATTAAATGTCTTATTTTACGTTAATATGGACATTTTCATTATTCCATCTATGATATTCTCTTCAAAATTACATAAGAAACACATTACATAGCACATAAACATGCTATGTTTATATGCTATGGAGGTGTGGTAGCTGGGTGGATGAAAAAATTACATTTTCTCTGGTCCAGCATCAGAAAAAACATGTATGAATCTGCGTCTGGCCTAGTCACTCCACCTTAACACATAATGCTTTTGTTTACAATTCTTGGCATGAATTATTCATTACTTCTCCCTTCGTTTATGATGCCATCTAAAGGTAGTTGTTAGAAACGTTTAAACTCGGTGAAACAAGGTAGTATGTAGTATGGCTCTAGGCTGCATTAAATATATAGCTATGTAGGTAGGTGCAGCTATGTAGCCAGGCAGACTAGATAGCTACATCTACCAGTTACCTACACCTGACTTCCTACAAATAAGTACTACTCACCTCTTGCCTTACATTAAAATTACAAATATTTTAAGGTAAGTAGTGAATGTACTGTGTATTATTTTACTTTTTATTGTATTTTAATGCCTAGTTCTATTTATTTTTTATTTTTTATTAACACATTGGCCGATTCCCACCAAGGCAGGGTGGCCCAAAAAAGAAAAACTTTCATCATCATCATTCACTCTATCACTGTCTTGCCAGAGGGGTGCTTTACACTACAGTTATAAAACTGCAACATTAACACCCCTCCTTCAGAGTGTAGACACTGTACTTCTCATCTCCAGGACTCAAGTCCGGCCTGCCGGTTTCCCTGAACCCCTTCATAAATCTTACTTTGCTCACACTCCAACAGCACATCAAGTATTAAAAACCATTTGTCTTCATTTACTCCTATCAAATACGCTCACGCATGCTTGCTGGAAGTCCAAGCCCCTTGCACACAAAACCTCCTTAACCCCCTCCCTCCAACCCTTCCTAGGCCGACCCCTACCCCACCTTCCCTCCACTACAGATTTATACACTCTCGAAGTCATTCTGTTTTGTTCCATTCTCTCTACATGTCCGAACCACCTCAGCAACCCCTCCTCAGCCTTCTGGATAATAGTTTTGGTAATCCCACACCTGCTCCTATTTTCCAAACTAGGTAGTAGGTTGGTAGACAGCAGCCACCCAGGGAAGTACTACCGTCCTGCCAGATGACTCTGAAACAGAAACCTGTAACTGTTTTGCATGATGGGAGGATTGCTGGTGTCTTTTTCTGTCTCATAAACACGCTAGATAACAGGGATATCTTGCTACTCCTACTTACACTTTGGTCACACTTCACAGACATGCACATGCATATATATATATATATACATACATCTAAGTTTTTCTCCTTTTTCTAAATAGCTCTTGTTCTTCTTTATTTCTTCTATTGTCCATGGGGAAGTGGAAAAGAATCTTTCCTCCGTAAGCCATGCGTGTCGTATGAGGCGACTAAAATGCCGGGAGCGATGGGCTAGTAACCCCTTCTCCTGTAGACATTTACTAAAAAAGAGAAGAAGAAAAACTTTATAAAACTGGGATGCTTGAATGTGCGTGGATGTAGTGTGGATGACAAGAAACAGATGATTGCTGATGTTATGAATGAAAAGAAGTTGGATGTCCTGGCCCTAAGCGAAACAAAGCTGAAGGGGGTAGGGGAGTTTCGGTGGGGGGAAATAATTGGGATTAAATCTGGAGTATCTGAGAGAGTTAGAGCTAAGGAACGGGTAGCAGTAATGTTGAAGGATCAGTTATGGAAGGAGGAAAGAGAATATGAATGTGTAAATTCAAGGATTATGTGGATTAAAGTAAAGGTTGGATGTGAAAAGTGGGTCATAATAAGTGTGTATGCACCTGGAGAAGAGAGGAATGTAGAGGAGAGAGATTTTGGGAGATGTTAAGTGAATGTATAGGAACCTTTGAACCAAGTGAGAGAGTAATTGTGGTAGGGGACCTGAATGCTTAAGTAGGAGAAACTTTTAGAGAGGGTGTGGTAGGTAATTTTGGGGTGCCAGGTGTAAATGATAATGGGAGCCCTTTGATTGAACTTTGTATAGAAAGGGGTTTAGTTATAGATAATACATATTTTAAGAAAAAGAGGATAAATAAGTATACAAGATATGATGTAGGGCAAAATGAAAGTAGTTTGTTGGATTATGTATTGGTAGATAAAAGACTGTTGAGTCGACTTCAGGACGTACATGTTTATAGAGGGGCCACAGATATATCAGATCACGTTTTAGTTGTAGCTACAATGAGAGTAAAAGGTAGATGGGATACAAGGAGAATAGAAGCATCAGGGAAGGGAGAGGTGAGGGTTTATAAACTAAAAGAGGAGGCAGTTAGGGTAAGATATAAACAGCTACTGGAGGATAGATGGGCTAATGAGAGCATAGGCAATGGGGTCGAAGAGGTATGGGGTAGGTTTAAAAATGTAGTGTTAGAGTGTTCAGCAGAAGTTTGTGGTTACAGGAAAGTGAGTGCGGGAGGGAAGAGGAGCAATTGGTGGAATGATGATGTAAAGAGAGTAGTAAGGGAGAAAAAGTTAGCATATGAGAGGTTTTTACAAAGTAGAAGTGATGCAAGGAGGGAAGAGTATATGGAGAAAAAGAGAGAGGTTAAGAGAGTGGTGAAGCAAAGTAAAAAGAGAGCAAATGAGAGAGTGTGTGAGATGTTATCAACAAATTTTGTTGAAAATAAGAAAAAGTTTTGGAATGAGATTAACAAGTTAAGGAAGCCTAGAGAACAAATGGATTTGTCAGTTAAAAATAGGAGAGAAGAGTTATTAAATGGAGAGTTAGAGGTATTAGGAAGATGGAGGGAATATTTTGAAGAATTGTTAAATGTTGATGAAGATAGGGAAGCTGTGATTTCATGTATAGGGCAAGGAGGAATAACATCTTGTAGGAGTGAGGAAGAGCCAGTTGTGAGTTTGGGGGAAGTTTGTGAGGCAGTAGGTAAAATGAAAGGGGGTAAGGCAGCTGGGATTGATGGGATAAAGATAGAAATGTTAAA